AAATGTTCCATATCCGTTTTAAAGACCACCTATAAAAAATGTTCCAGAGCTAGCTATAGATACTCTAACTGATTTTATCTAAATTCGCTTTCGCGGTAGAATTTTGATAATTAAAAGGGGGTATCTATTAAATTTTGAGCTATTTTTTACAAGGACTTTTTAGAACTGTATTCAAAAAACTGACATCGCCTCATTAACTTTTAATTATGATGAGAAATTATTTGTCATATATTCAGGGTTTGCCAGCTTCATTAAAATAATTTTATTTTTTCATATGATAAAATAGGGGAAATATGCCATGAATAGTCATGCTTTCGCTTTTTTCAAAAAAACGGCATTAAGATTTGGGTTTGACCAAATATATTTTATATCAGTGTAGCCCAATTCTTAATCTTTAAATAAAATTTGAATCAAAGCTTTATCTATTATCTATAATAGTTTATGAGTTTGATAAGATTATATACAAGTTGTTTTTCTGGCCAGTCAAAACATGGTATGTATTGACTGGCCATACACTATGTGTTAATTGGCCATTATAAATCATTTAAGAATTTTATTATAAATTTTACAATATGAATTACTTGCAAAAGACCTATCTTAATATTTATTCATTTTTTAGATATGTAAAAATTTACACTAATTTAATTAGTTTACATCTAAATTTATCATCATCATCTTCTTCTTCTCCGTTTTATGGCGATTTTCATTTTTACCCGGGTGGGCCAGTTTTCCCTCTGATTTTCTTTTCCATTTTTGACGGTCCTGATCATCAATATTTGTAAGATTCATGCATCTCATATCCGCCGCTATCACATTTGTCCACGTCATCTCCTACTTCCATTAGGGTGCATCTCTTTACCCAGTCATTTTGTTTTATAAATTAATATCTTAATTATCTTTTTGTTAAACATTCTTATTTCAATATATAATTAAATTTAATGATTTTATAAATTATTATCTTAATTATCTACATGTTAAATAGGTTATTACAATAATTTAATCATTCATCAATTTAAAATTTTTTGATGCTCAATAAACTTAATTATGAATACACAACAGCAATTTATGTTATTATTAATTTATAAATGAGAAAATTATAATATTTTTATTACCATAAAAAACAAACAAATACATCATTTTTATTAATTAAGCATAAGCCTATTCTTCATAATGAATGAATTTAATCCATTCTTCCTCTTTCTTAGGAATATTTCATCTTGCATATAATGCATAACCACTCATCATAATTCTGCTTTAAAATTAAACTTTAACTCATAAAATCATGTGCAAATATTCTTATCAAAAAATAAATAATTTTTAACATAAAAATTTATTTAGCTAAATCTATGATAACTTTTAACAGGTAATTCTAATGTATAATTAATACCATTAAGAAATGCTCTAACATGTTATAATTGATAAATCTATGATATCTAATAATCTATAATATAATTCTAATATGTAATTTATATTATATATAAACCCTTTAAGTTTTAACCATTTTATGCTAAACCTCATTAATGATTTTCTAGCTTGTCTTGTATTATATAATCTTATCTAATTTCTGAGGTTTGGTGAATATTAATCAATTTGAATTTTATCCATATGGACATATTACAAAGTCTCTTTATATGATTCACATGAGTTTTTCATTAAAATATGAATGTATGTCTATTATCATAAAATGCCATTATATGTATATTAAACAATGATATAAGCTCTAATCTTTTTACGTAACTAATGTTAAAAGACCAAAGATAATATTTATATCAGAGACTTTTTTTTAAACATATCCGGGCCGGGCCTTAATATTTTTTATAAAAATTTTTACATTATGAGTTAATGGTTATAAGATTATATTATATTATAGTTATGATTAATATAATATTGGGTGATGGTTAACACTACCTAACACCCACAGATCGATCTAATTATTAATTTCCTGCAAATTTATTCAAAGTATTAATATATTTTTTTATAATTCATATCTAAATTTTTACAACATATTTTACCAAAACAATCAAATAAAGGAATATCTTAAATAAGCCCCAATATTCAAGTATTATTAATATATTTTTTTATAATTCATATCTAAATTTTTAGAATATATTTTACCAAAACAATCAAATAAAGGAATATCACTTCTTGAAGTTTGTAATACCTTTCAAAGCGAAAAAGGAGAAATAAAATTGATTTTACTTAATATAAAGCATTTTTTAATTGAAAAATTTGTTTTATACAAGTATCATTTTATTTCTCTTTTTCTCTGTCCCAAATTCAAGCAATTACGTATGTAGTCAGGGACAGATCGCAAGATGACGGAAAACTATATAAAAGATTATATTAAATTACAAGAGGCTCAGGAAGTAAATGAAATACCATCGACCAGTCAAATTAAGACCGTTGTTAAACAAACTGAATCGTTTTATATGGTAATTCTGGTAATATGTCAATACCCGATGATGAATATTATAATTACATAAATAAAAAAATAGATAAAACATTTAAGGTGGATAATTTGTTAGAGTGGTGGGCGGCTCATCAAAGCGAATTTCCAATTTTAGCAAAATTGGCAATTCCTGCTTCAAGTGCAAGCTGTGAGCGGAATTTTTCCACTACTGGGAGAATTCTTGAAGAAAGAAGAAGTAATCTTCAACCTGAAAAGGTAGATATGCTTCTCTTTCTTCATGATAATTTGTGAATTTTTAATATCTTTCTTGAGTATAGGGTTTCGTCAATCATGCTGGTTTTTTACTTTGCAAACTGTCAAATATTTATTGCATTTATTATATTTACCTTGAGTCATGAAAGTTTTTAATCCAACATTTTTCATTATTTTTTTTTACAATATTTTATAATACAATTATCTTCTTATGTTAAAAATTTATATTATAAAATAAATTATATTAATATTGTGCAATTAGATTATATTTTCAAAATACTATTTATTATACATGCATTTTTTTAAATAGCGATTATAAATTAAATACAATATATTATATTCTCAAAATATTTTCCATTTTTATAAATTAAATATTAGTTTTATTTTTTTTAAATGCAATATAAAATATAGTATATGCTCAAAATATTATTACCATTTTTATGAATATTAGTTTTATTTTTGTAAATGCAATATAAAATATAGTATAAGCTCAAAATATCCATTTTTATAAAAATTTTTATAAATTCAATATAATATTCTCAAAATATTAGCTTTTTACATGTATTTTTTAAATAATAAGCGATAATACTCGCTGAAAAATATGGTAAAATACCTCATAGGTGAATTTTTGTATATACCAGGTCGAATATAATTTTAAAAATTCCGAGCCGGGCCTGAAATTTTTTTTTAAAGATAGTAAAAAATATTTTTAAAAAATATCCGGGCCGGGCCTTAAATTTTTAAATCCAGGCCGGGCCGTAAAAATTTTTTTTAAAAAATATCCGGGCCAGGCCTAAAAAATTTAAAACCGGGCCGGGCCGTGCAAATGGTACCTCTGCAGGTCTCTGATTTATATAAAATATCAATATCCTAAATTAACAACTTTTTCACCAAATAAAAAATATGTATAACATAATTTTTCTAGAAAGATGTACTTAAAACAGTTTATTTGAGATATATTTTTTTTCTATTGTTCTAATTAATAAATTTACTTAGGTAAGATACATATCATAAACATACATGGTCCAATAGATAAAAGTTAAAGAGTAGTGGCCAGTCTTCAAACATGACCATTTATGGCACATTTCCCCTAGCTTATCGATAAAAGCCTTAGGGAAATTTAATATGTATTAAAATTTATGTAAATAATATAAATTAAGCAAAATTTATAGTTTGGTAAAATATAGGGTCTGTAAAATTAAAATCATTTCTCCTTTCATTTCATTTATGTTATATTTGATAAAAGGTTATAATATTCAACGTTATTTGAATAAGATATTTTTCATACAATAATATTACGTAATTATATTTATAAGGTCAATCTAATTTAATACTTATAGAAGTTAAATTTAATAATTATAAAATAGTATTATACAAGAATTTAAAATATAGATACCAATTTGTTTTGACTAGTAAGATCGATCCAGACCGTGGTCCTAAATAAAAAACATATTTTTTTAACCTAATTTGATTTGTTTTCTCATTTTATTAAATATAAGAGTATTATATAAACAATAAAATTTATCCAATGGTATTGAAAAAAATGATTTTGTGCTTGTAGAGGGCATATTAAAATTAAGAGTTTGTGTTTTTTGAGATATTTTCATTTTCATCATTAGAAGTATATATTTTATGTTTTATCAGATGTCTGCTTAAGGTACCTAATTATTTTATTAAGAATAAGGTTAAGTAATTTTTACAATAAATTATACAGACAGTTTCTTTAAAAAAAAATAGAACTATATAATAACTAAAATATTTTAATAATATTATTGCTTATTTTGATTAATTTATTGCTTAAAAAATTATAAGCAATTATTTTGTGACTAGGTGCTGACGATACATTAAATTTGGTACTGCAGTGAACACATACTCCATGTTTTTATTGGGACTATAAGTAAAATGTTTCTTGGACAAACTTATGGTTTTCATATTGTAAAATAAAAATTAACAAAATCTAAAATGACTCCTCTAGAAAAATATCATAAAATAAAATATACAAAAAAATTATATTAATTGTATAGTAAAGCAAACTTAAACAATAATAAAAGACCGGTCCGGACCACGGTCCTGAAGAAAAAGATCGATCCGACAATCGGTCCGGTCCGATCCCGGTCTAAGACCGATAGGACCGAACCGTTGACCTTCACTAGTTTTGACCATATATTCGATATAAAAATTTATATATATTAACTCCCTTTTTCTCATAGTACTCTTTGTAAATATTTATAATTTCTCATCTTAAAATAACATCGTATACCCAGTTAAAGAAATAAGGTTATGCACTATAGTAATAATATAATCGAAATGGCATTGCAATTTTTTTTTATAAGTTTTATTTTTTTAGGAATACAAAAGAAAATATGTATAAATTTATAAACAATAGGGAATAAAAGTATAGGTAAAATATTTTCTAAAATTGAAAAAACGCTTTAAAATATGTTCCATCTTCTTTAAGTCACGGGTATCGTTCAACGATCATAGCATGACCCTAGAAAAAAAATAAGTTGTTTAATTGGCATTAAATTTTTAGCAAAAATTTTATTTAAAAAAAGATAGAAAATTTTAATTATAATAACCTGTCCCCCTGCGGCGCAAGCAGCAACCAAAGCCAATTTTCCGTTCTCCTTTATGAGTCTGTTAGCGGCTGTAACAACGAGTCTAACTCCAGTAGCACCGAATGGGTGGCCAATTGAGAGAGAGCCTCCCCAAGCGTTTAACTTTTCTAATGGGATAGCACCGACCTAGAGATATTATAATATTTCTAATAGTTATTTGCTTTTTTTATACATCTTACGATTTGTCATTGTCGCAAATATTCTGCTACAAATTCAAAAAAAAAGTTTAGAAAAATATCTAATAACTTCTCATAAAGCTGTGGACCCTAATTATAGTTCAAAAAATTAAAAAATGTTTAATTGGACATTTTGAGGCCACAGATCAAACAAAGACCGATTTATAGACGACCCATAGAATCGGGGGTAATATAAACGAGAGTCAGGTTCGGACCTCTCTCAGAAAATCGGTTACGATTAAGTTTCAGTCAGCAAAATCTCTCATTCTATTTCACGCTGGTAGAATTTCTAGGGAATCTTCTGTTCCCTGTTTTTATATTTTTATTTTACTTTAATTTACAAAAGGGTTTCTTGAACAATGTTCGCATTTCTGTGTCTGACTTTAAATTAAATATATTTTAATTATATCTGGACTAAAATAATATACCGAAATTAACAGTGTGAAAAAAATGAAAACCATCATTTCATAAACAAGCATGTTTAAATGGAGCCTCATGGTAGAATTTTCTAATGATATTTTCCTAATTTTTTTTAAAAGTGATAATATTAGGTTATTCCTAACAGGCCTTGCAAATTATAAAATAAACTCACACCCTTTGTTTAGATTGAAAAAAAAATTGTCTTTTGAAAAATGTCAATATTTGACAAAAATAAAGGCTCAATAAACTTTTATGTCATTTTGGTAAATGTATATTATTTATTTATTTCAATAAATAAACAAATTTATTATCAAAATTTATTTTAAAACTAAATAAATAATATAAATTACAATTTAAAAATAAAATAACTTTTCCTTTACGGTTAGCATAATTTTGATTGAACCAGTCAGAGTCAAGAGCTTTCAAAGTAGCTAATATTTGGCCCTAAAAAACGTTTGCAAAAATAAAAGAAAAATTATTTCGCAATTCGAGAATGGTGAATAGATAAAAATTATATATTTAGTAATAAGAACCTGACGCAAAAAAGAATATTTTTTAAAAAAATTTAACTTTAAAACTTAAACGCCTTTCTCTTCGCGCCATTTTTCAAAATATCCAAGTCTAATTTGGCTCATAGGCCAGCTTCAAACTAAGAATTTATCTCATAACACTGACGAATTTAATATAATTAATAAGGTTAACATATGTTTTTATGTTTGTGCTGGCAGAAAAAATAAGGCTAATTTTGCTTAGAGGTGGCCCATAATATTTTCATTTGTGGTGCCACATATTTAAAAAAAAAGTTTGCAGATTTTAGCGTTTTAAATTTCTGTTTTACATATAAAAGAGTGTTATATGCTGAATTTTTTTGTAAAAATTTAACGAACGGCAAAGGCTTCATGATATTCGAAAACGTCGATGTCTTTTAGAGTCAGTCCATTTCTATCCAAAATTTTAGGAGTCGCGTAAGCGGGCCTTTAATTTGTAAAAATAGAAGTTTTTATAAGTTGTATTAATTTTTATTTTTAAAATTTTTTTTAATTTTATTATCTATCTTATAATCTATCTTATCTGATCTAATCTACTATCATTTATCTATCTATCTATCTATCTATCTATCTATCTATCTATCTATCTATCCATCCATCCATCCATCCATCCATCCATCCATCCATCCATCCATCCATCCATCCATCCATCCATCCATCCATCCATCCAATTTATCTTGCTAGTAGATTAATTTAAAAAAATAGTATCACTTACCCAAGCAATAGTTGATCTTTAGGATCCTGTGAAACGTATATGAAATCCCTAAAAAGACATGAATAATTCACAAATACAAAATTAAAAATTACAATGTTGAGTGATATTGATATTTAATCTCTAAAAAATTGTAATATGTTCATCACCAATGCAATTTTTTTTATATTTAAATATTGTGTTCCACCATTTTTAAAGTGTAAGACAATTTTAAACAACCGTACTGTAAATGTACCGAATAAAATTACAAAATTTTTTTATTATCGTAAAAATTTAAATCAAGTTGAAATTAAAAAATGGCAATTCACACATAAAAAAAATGCCATAAAACCTCAAGTAGGCTTTGGGTTTAAGCCCAAGTTGTTTAGCTCTCTCTTCGGTCATGATAAGCCCCGCGCTGGCTCCGTCCGTTAAAAATGAGGCATTTCCCGCTGTTACTGAACCGTAGGGTTTAATAAAAGCTGGTTTGAGTTTCGATAACTTATCCAAATCGCTTACTCTTATGCCGTTGTCTTTGTAGATGGGTTCTTTTTGAGCTGTTTTTTTAAATTCAAAAAGATATTATATATGATCTTTAATTTATGAAATGAAACTTGTAACTTTACAGAACTAATAATATCTTATTTAAAATAAACTTTTTATAGTAATAATTTAATATAAAATACGTAAATATATATTTATTTTTTTTAAATTAAATTTGACGTTTCCTGCAACAACAAGCTAGTCGAAATCCATAAGCTTATTCTAGCACAGATTTGAGTGAGTTTATCAAAAAAATTCATTTTTGTTTTTTTTTCTTTCCTTTTTTTTAAATCCATGTACTCATTATTTTTTATCCTTCACCTCTCGATATACTTACTTTTTATAATACATCCTTCAATTTTTCCTTCCTTTATTTAATCCTATTTCAGTGCAAAGAAACCTAAGACCGGATAAGGAATAATATCTGATAAAAGTCCGCCTTGCGATGCCTTCTCCGCTAACGTATTGGACCTTAGCGCGTAAGCGTCTTGTTCTTGTCTTGATATCGCGAAGGCTGCCGCTAATCTATCGCCAGAGTGGCCCATCGTTTCGTTCGTAGAGAATTCCGCTATGGCTGGTAACTTAAATTATTTTATTTTTTTCATTTAAGAAAATATGATTACAAAAAAAAATGTAAAAGGTGTTGTAAATTATAACATTTTTTATGTATATTAAAAAAATGTCAATCATTAAAAACTTTGATTTTTGATATATTTTTTTTTACAATTTTTTTTTTTTACGATGAAAATTTCTTTTTTTTTAAATATAAAATGATTTTTATGATTTTAAATAATGAGTATTTTAAATAAAAACCGTTTGTAATCATCTGTTGTGAAATTTTACTAAGTCTAAGAATTAGTAAGAAGGTCTTTCTGTTAGTTAAGGAGTTTTTTTTATATATATTTGATTGGGGTAAGTTTTCTTTGTTTCGTTTTCGTAGTTCCTTTTTGAGTTTTATCAGTTGGTGCCGTGTAAAGCAAATGTTCCATAAGGGTTATTGCAGTCACAATTCGCAATTTTATTACCACTATATTATCAATGCGGCGAGATGACCACTCTTTCAGGTGCAGTATATTCTCATTTGTATTCGACTTTGAGAGAAGGCCACTATAGGCAAATATTCAAAATTGGGAATTAATATATTATAAAGGTAAAATAAAAACACAAATATTCAAAATTGGGAATTAATATATTATAAAGGTAAAATAAAGGCACAAATATTGAAAATTGGGAATTATTATATTATAAAGGTAAATAAAAAAGATGATTATTCCAAAATTGGAAATTAATATATTATAAAGGTAAAATAAAGAAGATGATTATTCCAAAATAATTAATATATTATAAAGGTAAAATAAAGACACAAATATTCAAAATTGAGAATTAATATATTATAAAGGTAAAATAAAAGGATGAATATTCCAAAATTGGAAATTAATATATTATAAAGGTAAAATAAAAACACAAATATTCAAAATTGGGAATTAATATATTATAAAGGTAAAATAAAAAAGATGAATATTCCAAAAGTGGAAATTAATATATTATAAAGGTAAAATAAAAAAAGATAAACATTCCAAAATTGGAAATTAATATATTATAAAGGTAAAATAAAAAAAGATAAATATTCCAAAATTGGGAATTAATATTAAGATAAAATAAAATAATAAATATTAAAAAAAGAGGGACTTTCATAGAGGATCTTTTGTTTTGTTGGGAGGAGGTTTTCAAGTGAATATTATTATTAAAGTAATAGCGGAATAATATATATGCATCAAATTATTCGAAATCTTTACCTAACCTACTATATTATCTATGACAGTATTCTTAAGAAATGAAATTCCTATAAAAACCATTTTTTAGTAATACGTTATGTTTACTTCGCTTAAAATTTTTTAATCCTTATATAAAATTATTCAGGAATATAAGGAAATTATTCCAGGATATTCAAATAAGGTTTGCGAAATCATATTCGAAATTATGTTAAATCATTAGACATTAATTTTTATATTAAAAAATCAGTGATTATATTCTTATGAATCTATATTCTACATTATTATTTTGCTTTGGATTGTATATACCTACTTGTATTTATCTTTTCCATATTCTCCATATCGTTAATTAATCATGGAAATAAGTGGAATGATATCCTGGTCACGGCACCAACTGTCAAATCTCTAAAAGGAACTACGAAAACGAAACAAAGAAAACTTACCCCCAATCAAATATCTATAAAAAAAACTCCTTAACTTACAGAAAGACCTTCTTACTAATTCTTAGACTTAGTAAAATTTCCACAACAGATGATTACAAACGGTTTTTATTTAAAATACTCAAATTATTTAAAATCATAAAAATCATTTTATATTAAAAAAAGAAATTTTCATCGTAAAAAAAATAATGATTGTAAAAAAGATATATCAAAAATCATAAAAAAAAGAAATTTTCATCGTAAAAAAAAATAATGATTGTAAAAAAAATATATCAAAAATCAAAGTTTTTAATGATTAAAAAAATGTTATAATTTACAACATGCCACCCCTTTATGGGCGCATGGCATGAATATAAAAAAATAATAATAAGATATTATTACAAAATTTTCAATGTACTAACACTAATCCTATAGAATTCAATAATGTACTATGATACTAATAGGGGTGTTATGATGAAGACATTTTATGGGCGACATCAAGGTAGTAATAATTGGTTTTCCCACAATTCCATCGCGTCGTTATTTTGTAACAATATCTGGGATCCCGAAGTGCACGGGGCGGTTTCAACGATAGTAGTCATAGCTCTTCTGAGAAGATCCTCCTCCAGGGGCGTTGACGAGAGACTGGAACTATCATTGGATGTTCGCATTAAATTTCCTCTGTTCGCCGATGGAGCTGAATGGGTGCTAGGGAGCGACAGTTGGATCTGCATCTGTTCACGCATCCTTCTGTTGGTATTCCCACTCTTTCGTGATGGGGATAGGGAATTGTAATTATTTTCCTTGAACGAGGAAGCGACGCTGTTACAGCTGTAACAGTGATGGTCACATCAGGAGTCAATGCAGTGTCATCAGTGGAGATTCTCGCGACCCCCTCACTACTATAAATACCTGGGCCAGTCCGCGGGGAATACCAACAGAAGGATGCGTGAACAGATGCAGATCCAACTGTCGCTCCCTAGCACACATTCAGCTCCATCGGCGAAGAGAGAAAATTTAATGCGAACATCCAATGATAGTTCCAGTCTCTCGTCAACGCCCTCGGAGGAGGATCTTCTCAGAAGAGCTATGACTACTATCGTTGAAACCGCCCCGTGCACTTCGGGATCCCAGATATTGTTACAAAATAACGACGCGATGGAATTGTGGGAAAACCAATTATTACTACCTTGATGTCGCTCATAAAATGTCTTCATCATAACATTCCTATTAGTATCATAGTACATTATTGAATTCTATAGTATTAGTGTTAGTACATCGAAAATTTTGTAGTAATATCTTATTATTATTTTTTTTATATTCATGCCATGCGCCCATAAAGGGGTGGCATGTTGTAAATTATAACATTTTTTTATGTATATTAAAAAAATGTCAATCATTAAAAACTTTGATTTTTGATATATTTATTTTTACAATTTTTTTTTTACGATGAAAATTTCTTTTTTTTTAATATAAAATGATTTTTATGATTTTAAATAATTTGAGTATTTTAAATAAAAACCGTTTGTAATCATCTGTTGTGAAATTTTACTAAGTCTAAGAATTAGTAAGAAGGTCTTTCTGTAAGTTAAGGAGTTTTTTTTTATATATATATTTGATTGGGGTAAGTTTTCTTTGTTTCGTTTTCGTAGTTCCTTTTTGAATTTTATCAAAAGGGATAATACAAAATTATTCCTAAATATTCGAAATTATTCTAAGGTATTTAACATGTTCCCATAGGCCAGGATTTTCCTGTAGGGGGCACTATTAGGCGGAGTTTACGCTATCAATTCTTAGGTTAAATTCACTTAGTGTTGATTTTTGGCTATGTTAATAAAAATAATCTTGAGGATCTAGGTTAACATATTCAAAAAAAATTTTTTTTAGCCTAATTTAAGGCTTGAATTATGTTTAGATTCATAGTTTGTAGATAACGGTATGTACGAGCAACCTCAAATAAATGAATAAATTTATTATAACAAAAGAAAAGTTTATAGAACAAAAAGAAAATATTCCCAAGGAAAATAAAATGATATAATAATTTACGCATAGAACTTTAAAAAAAATTTATTCATTAAATTTGTAAAAACATTTTTGAATTGGGGATGTCATGGCGTGGTCTTTTGGCATATAAAAAGCTTCGGACATAAGATATGAGCCCTCAAATGCAATAATAAAACACATTACTAGGACACAAGGCTTCATAGATTATTTCCATGGGCCAAAAATTGAATTTTTATTCTAAATTTTAGAATTGTGCAATCTATGAAGCACTAATATTGGTTAATTTTTTTATGATTCCATTCAAAGAATTATTATATTTAATTATATTTCTTTAAAAAATAAACCCTTTTATAAGGTAACATATAAAATCGTACTTCGGGAATCAGCGATTTAGGTGTAATCCTAGTAAACAAGGCCAATTTAGAACCAAAGCTCTTAGCTTTGGGGTAAGAGAGCATGATTTGCCTCATTTCCCGGCTAAAACGTATAGGAACGTCGGAGAGCAATTCTACCCCTCCGGCAATAGCAGAGTCACACATGCCGGAATTTATATATCCTATACCTATTTAGAGAAGAAGAAAAAAATTTAAAAAATATATATGAATTGAGGTAAATAAAGAAAGTTAAAGGAGATGAAATATATGGGGTTAAAATAGGTTCACGCTTTTTTTAAGTTTCAAAAAAAACTCTTGTAGCCAATCTTTCTCCTTCTGGATGAATTTTGAATATGTCATGGATTAAAGAATAAGATGGATATAAAATGAAGCATTCATATGTAAGAATATGAGCAGCATTGAGTCTTTAATAAGAAAAAAATACATGGTTAATAAGAATGAGAATAATCAGAATTATAATCGAGGATAAGGATTAAGGTTATGTGCAAGTTTTTCTGAAGATTTAACCCCTTGAGGGGTAAGGTGAAAAAAATAATGGTTGGTGGGGATAGCTCCCACCTCCACCCCACCCCCCATTTAATTTTTTTTAATATTTCACTCAATTATTAAAGTTTTCGATACTTTAGATGTTTACCTTATAATTAATTATAAATAAAACATGTTTGAAGATTTAATATCATAAACAAATTTTATAAGAATTTGAGGTAAATAAAGCAAAAATACCTTAGATACTATGTCTAATATTTTTGCAGTAATCAAAATAACTATAAATTTTTTTTTAATAATAGTGTTTCTTTAAAAATAAAAGTTAGTTTTTGCCTCCAAAGCTAAATGTTATTAAGGAATTATCATTTTAAAATAATTTTAATTTAAAAGAAAAAATATATTTGAAGGAGAAGATACAAGATTGGCATGTTAAAATCTGACCATTTTCATTAAAAATCATATTCAAATGCTTTAATATTATTAAAATATAAATTTAAATCTTACAAGTTGTAATAGCTTGATTGGCTGATATACATGCCATACTTACAGTGTGAGCAGGAATTCTATCTGACAATCCGGCTAGCAATGATGACTTAAAATAATTCAACAAAAATCATTAAATTATATATTTATTTATTTTTAATTAAAAAGACTCTTTGATTAGCTTTTTACGCGTGTTTTATCATATATTATATGCGTTAATAAAGCCATACAAAGAATAAATGTCTTATATAGTTTTAGAATGCATTCTGACTTCTCTGGCAACATTGGTAGTTTTGCAATCTTGTACCACATTACCAAAAACAACATATTCAATAGCTTCTTTGGGTACTTGTGTGCGATTGATTAAACCACTAAAGTAAAAAAAAATTTATTATTCCAATTCTAATATACAACTTTTCTATTTAAGTAAAATACGAGCCTTTAAATATTCATATATAAGATTAGGAGGTAAAGGCTGCTAATATAGTAAGCGATAAGTATGATCTTAAATATAACTAGAAACAAAAAAAAAGTTTAAACACTGGTGTTGGAAGAGGGAGGGGAAAATATATGTTTAATGAATCAGTATGGGCTGATCTACCTGAATTGGTCTATAAAAATGTTTCTCAATTTTTGGACTGGTCCAGATAATTTTTATTGGTTGTTATTTTTTACAATTTGTCCAGCCTAGAAATTTAAAATCAGCACTAACCAAAATAAATATTTTTGAGCTGCCCCTCTCTCTAATTTAAATTTTTGCCTTTTAAATAGAATTTTTATGAGTACCATATAATTAAAAAAACTAAACTTTTATCACCCCCCTAAATAAATAAATAAAACAGTAACATTTCTAAGAATACAATAGAATCTTATATATATTTTAATAATATATTTAAGAACGATTTATGTAGTTTCTTTTTTTTAATAAAAATGCTTTTTTTCTGAAAATTTTAAATTATAGTCATTATTTTTAAACAACTTCTCTTATTTTTCTTTCAAATAATTGTTTGTAGTGATATATTTTACCCATCTCCATATAACATGCCACCTGTCATAGGATTGTGCCATTAATTGGATTAAATGGGGCCAATATTTCACATTTTTTTTAAAATAATGGATTGGGCCAATATTTTCAAAAAAATTGGTTCAAAATTTCTATTGTTTTTGGTTATTTTAAGATTGTATATACAATTATATAATATTTTTTATTTTATATATAATTTCATAATAATAAATTAATAAAAAGAGCTAATTTAATTTATTTATGTTTAAAAAAAGTGAATTATTTTAAAATATAGAATAGCAAAACTTTGATAAAATTTATTTGCAGGAAAAAAATTTAAATGAGTCACATTACTTAATAATGGCTTGATTTAGCTAATTTTTAAAAATGGCTAACCAAAGATTATAGCCATTTTAAATTATTGGCTAAATCTAATTTAACAACACTACATTCAGCCATAAATAGTGCCCATATTTTAAATGAGTTGACTAACTTTTGGAGAACAAATTTGTGAAAATTAGTTGTTTTTTTTGTATAAGAAATAGTAATTTTTTAATGACATTGGTTGAAAGATAAATCATAAACAATAATTAATCTAAAATAAATATTGGACTGCTATCGTTTAGTAATATCAAAAAATATTGGCAGATTAGTAAAAAATTTGTTCAGCTTAAATTATTTAATATTAATTTATGCATAGATATCTTCAGAGAGAGGAAAAAGGGAATTCCTACTTCAAAAATTTGTTTGTAAATTTCCTCCTAGGCACACCCCTCTCTTTATAAAATGTATACAATATATCAGTATAAACAATAATTTCAAATAAAAATAAGTAAAAGTTAATAATTTTTTTAAAATAATGATTGTAATTCAAAATTTTTAAATAAAATAAATGAAAAACCAAAATTATTTTTATAAAAATATAACATAACCAAAGGCCTAGAATATGTGACTACCCAATAAAATTTATCAAGGAAACCCCCACCTAATAATGTTTTCCCCTCCTTTAGCAAAATCCTAGCTATGCCTATGATTTTAAAATATTTTCTACTTTGATAAAAAAAAATATTGATTTTTAAAAGATTATTATTTAACTTAATAGCATATTTTGACAAAGTATGTTGAGTTTCATTTTTATATAGTGTGCCAGATTGAATAAATGGTGTCCTAACAGCATCAACCAAAACAATATTTTTACCAGATTTGTTTACATCTTTTGCTTAACCGTTTATTAATATAATCAAATATAATTATATTAATTTTAAACAGAATATATACTTCCATAGTTTCTTTTAAAAAATGTAAGATATAATGAGTAATTCGCAGCTATAAATATAATTTGATAAATAATACACATTAAAGATGTACTTCGGGATGATTTCATGCTCTTATTAAATAAAACAGCTGATAAATGTAAAAAAATATATAACTGGCAGCCGTCAGCCATCAAATTTATTTATTTTCTTCAAGTCTTCATTCGTGATCACAGTATATTCTAAAATACTACAAAAATCAACTTTTTTATGCCAATGTTTCAATTTCAAAATTTAAAAAATCTGACTATTCTAATAGCTAATAAAAGTAAATATTCCTGTTTTACACATTGTTGATGGAAGAAATTGAAAGTATTTGATATTTTTATTGATGAATAATTTAAATTTTTTTTCTTTTAGGCATAAAGTTAACTTTGCTTCAAGGTAGACAAAACTCACTGGTTATTATGAAAAGTCTAGACAATCAATTCCAAATTTTAAAAGAAAGGTTTATGGTTTAAATTATAGTTGCTACTCATTTTTAATTATCTGAGGATATTGTATAAATTTATATTTCTACAAATATCTTGCTTGGCATAATATCGAGATTTAATTTTTTTTTAAATATATCCAGTTCCTAGATTTTTTTTAAAAAAATGGTTCAAATTTTAAATTTATTTGAAAAGAGGTCTTTTTTCTTAGATTTGAGTTATAAGTGTTTTTGATTCCAGACTGTTAATAAGCCATATATTCACAATACTAGTTTTTTAGGAAAATTATTTTTAATTGCTATCTTATTATAATAATGCCAAAACCTTTGCATGAAATGATCAGATCAAAAGGATAACCATGTTTGTATCTTTTCTAGATTATAAAAATAAAAGAGTACAGAAAATGTGATGTGTAAAATAATTTCATATTCTTATTGATATAGAAAATAGGAGTTTTGTCTTGATGACTGCTGTTATTGCAATGGTCAGATATGTTTGGAGAAGTTTCAAGAGGTGGAATTCTCTCCTAACAATAAAAATATCTTGACGTTGAAAGAAAATGTTAATATTAGTGGGAGAAGCTATTATTATGAAATATGGCAATTAAAGTTAAATTGGAAATAACAATGAGAAAGAATGAAAACAAACAATGGATTTGATAATTACAACTCTTTTACTATTTTTGAATAAAATCGTTTATGACAGTTGTATTTTTATATACCTTGAACTATTAGATCCTAACAAGCAATGGTTTTTATTGGATTATTTGGTTTTGGGACCACCATTGTATACAATTTGGTGGAAAAAAGCTCTAAACAGTTTTCTTATGAAGGAGAGAATGGGCCTTTAACTGGTTGCTTGAGCTATGATGTCTTAGCATAAATGCTTTCAACAACTAAAATATTTTCATTTTGGCTTCCTTCTCAATATATCTACCTTTATAAAGGAATCTGACTGATTTATAGATTTATTCCATAAATATTTTGCTTATAGTCCATGATTTATTCGAAAGTGACATTAATAAATTAGACCTAATAATATCCACACATGTCATGAACACTCCTAACAAATTTTATCTATAATAGTAGGCTAATTCCCTACGATTTCCTAATATTTTAATTGACCTAATAATTTTATGAATAATTTTGATCATAATGGGTTCTTGTGAGCGTTACTTTTTAAAACTTAAATTAATTAAAATCAACCTGAGATTCTGCATGTCTCAGAATTGGCCTATGAATCCCAAATTTTCAGGATTGTTAAAGGATACTTTACATATGCATCTAGATAGTCTAAATGCATATACATCAACCTAAATATATCTAAATACCATTTTGCTCAAGATATATTTTTATTATTTTTATGTAAGGTGGGCATAAGGCCAAATTTAGGATTTTATTGTTAAAATTTCAATTTTAAAGGGAGCTAGGAAAAATTCTAAAATATATATTTAATGATTATAAATTATAATTGTTAGAATTCAGTAATATAACATTTTTAATTATTAAGGCATCCTTATTTATTTTTAAAGATATTTTTTACCACAAAAAAAGTCTTTTATCCAGGACAGTTGATGGCAGAGTTGTGATATAATTTATGAATATAACTATATTGGGATATTTTAATATACTAAATTCCTGACCCTCATATCTAAATTGATGAGTGTCAAAGTTTATATCATTACTTGTATCCTCTACGGGGTGCTAAAGAAAAAAAGTTGTTTTATCTTTTATAATCAAGTAGTAACCTTAATAATTCATCAACTAAAACTTAAAATTTACCATGTTGTTGTCTTCATTGCGTAAAATAAAATTTTTTGTTTTTGGAATGAAATAAGCATGGGCCTAATATTTAATCAATTGAATTCGAATATTATTTTTTTAATATTAAAAGATGTATAATAAAATTATATCAAATCTTATCTAAAAATATATACAGATACCTCTAAAAATATATCTATATACTTTTTAAAGTGTACCTAGATAGAGATGTGACATTTTTGATCTAGATACTTTAACAAATCTGATAATTTCCATAGAAAATGATATCATGAATTCTTTAGAAAAGAATTTTTATCATCTTTTATAGACAAAAATGTAATTAAGCTAAAAAAAATTTAGTTTAGTAAAATTGTAAATATAGTTAGACCCGTGCGACGCCAGCTAATGGCCGACTGCCAAATTTTTTGGATACGCCGAAAACGCTGCCATATATGAAAATCACGCTGGTGCATAAATTTTTTTCATATTTTATAAATTTTTATTCCAATTAATCTCAATCAGGATTTTGATAAATTTTTATTTTTTTACCTATTTTAAAATCATAATTATTTTGACGTCATTTTAGAATTTAATCAATCAAAAATCTACTTTTTTATTTTTAAAATGGATGCATCTACATTTATAATTCTATAAATAATTTTAGTATTATAGCAGTAAATAATAAAAATAATAAATAATTAGTTTGGAAATTTTTTGGGTTTTATACTTAAAAAGAGATAATAAAACATGATATTAAAAAGGTGCTCTTTCTTGAAAATCTCAACAAAAGAATTATAGAAATTATTCTTATTCTAAGAAATAAAACTGCATAAGTTGAATTTGAATTCGAGGCAGATAAAAGAAAATGTCTAGGTACAATAGATCATATATGTTAGATCTTGATAGCACTGATCCATACCCCAATACCCTTCAATAATTCCTATGATAATAATAATAATTCCACGCATGTGAAAACCTTAAAATTAAAGGTCTCAACTAGTTAGATATTAATTAGGCTAAAAAGCATATCTGGATTAAATAATTTAATTAATAATGTTTTGATTCTCAAATTATTAAAGAATTGTTAGCATTTCTTTTAAAAATTTAAAGAAACTGTAGAATTTTTTTTATCACCACAAAAAAAGGCCTACAATAAATTTGGCATTACTTTTTAGAAATGAAACATTTAATAGTAAATGATAGTGATTAAGGAAAATATGCAAAGAAAACTTGCGTTACGATTTCATATTTGTGATCTGCAAGTAATAATATATTAGTGTGTTCATTTATTTAAAAAATTTTCTAGGTATTGACTTTTTTTCTAGATCCAAAATTTCAAAAATTGACAATTGTATCAAAGAATATAATAGAGGCTCAGTTTCTGAATTTATAATAAAACATCATAAACTCATACAGAATGATGATATTCGGGTAGTAAATATAGAGATTGAGGATTTAAATTTAAGTTATTTGACAGAATTGGCAGATAAACACTCGACAAATACAAATTATGATTCCACGTTAGGTGACAGAACAAGAATGCCACATTCTTCTTGGAAAACGCCATTCACGAGATATAGATGTTCTAAATTTCTGGAGAGAAAAGAAGAGTGAACTTCGCTAAAACAAATTCTTTATATTTCGGCAACTAGCACATCTAGTGAAAAATTCAAGGAGATATTATTTTTATACATGATAATTATAAAATTACGAAATCTGGATTTATTAGTTTTTTCGTAAATAAAAGATTAAAAAATATGCCGAGATATCTTTAGTGTATATTTTATTTAAAAAAATAAACTAATTAGCAATTGAAAAAAAATATATTATGAAAATTTATAACTACACCTATTTACGTCGCTTTTGTTGACGGCGGCTAAAAATCAGCTCGCTGCCGGTCGCCGATTAGATAGTTTCTTCGGCGTACAGGTCTAAGTATAGCTAATCATTTTTAATATCATTACAATTTGGTTGTGAATTGTAACCCCATTTAAATATAGCCATTTATGTAATAACTCAATAAAGATTTTATTAGAAGATCACGTTTTTTGTATTTTTTTAGTAATAAAATACAGGGAAAATATTGAAACTTTGACAACCTAAATATAAAATATTTTACACCCAGGGCCGCAAAAATTTAGGTTCTCGACCCTGCATTTTCTTGATTTCCTCCTTTAATTTTACCACCATTCTTTTAGTTTTTCAAAAACCTGAATCTTTCCAGCTATCTTAGAACCATTTACTTTTTTCTCTGACAATCTCTATTGAGATCTGTAAATCAAATTATGCCACAACCCATTGATCCCATGAAATTTATAACCAATGTTATTTATCTTATCTTTAATAAACTTTTTACGAGATGTATTTTATTTTATATATTTACCTAGTTAAAGCAACACCTTTATAAAATGATTTTAAATCCATTTTTATAAAACTATTTAAATCAATTTATTCCTTTGATAAAAAAAAACATTCACTTTTACATAATTTACACAGGCTCCTTAAAGATAGAGTAGACGAAATTGACAAAAAAGTTAAAGACTTAAACAATGAGACGTTGCAGGAATGGATACAGGGCATGGACGAACTCAAAAATGAACTTCAAGTCACTCTTGAAATGGCAGGTTTTAATTATTTTCTTAAAAGATGATATTTTTCAACAAGGCAGCTGATTTAATGTTTTTAAATGACTTCGCCAATCTTATATTTAAAAAAAAAATAATGTCGATAAGACCCTGATTAATTCTGGGGCTCGCTAATCATTAGATTAGGCCTATTCAAAAACGACGGCTTATCGAATATGCATTATTCATATTCGTTTAAACGAATCAATAACTAAGAATAATAAATTATTTAGACGACATTTTGGAATAGTGCCTACCAGTGGATAGTTTTACATTTAAAGGGAATAAGGTGTATTTGTGTGAGAGTGGGAGGGAGGGGAGAACTTATATCAATGAACCTGTATTTGTACTATTGAGCATAATTTGATCAAAGATATAAAATGAATCAGCTTCCTCTGTGCTATTAAACTCTTATTTCAATAAAAAAAATTACTTGAGAGTTTTCCACATTCATATCCCAATAACCATCATTGAGTATTATGGTCATCTTTCATATATATCATCGTCAACATCCATCCCCGCCCAGTATACCCCTTTATAAATATAATCGCACTTTAGACAACTACCATGCCCTATGCCTCAAGAATTGCGAAAAGGAACTTGATTTTGAGATACAAGCGGCTCAAAACGATTTCGAAAGCTCCAAAGACCTCCTGATCAAAAACGCTTTGCGCGAATACCACGTTAAGACGATCGCCGTCGAGGAAAAGCGTAAAACGCTTAATAGCAGCAAAAGTTTTTTGAAAAATAAGATATTAATATATCTCCCCTCCCCGTATTATTCTAGTGAAAATATTTACTATTTTTTTAAAATTAATCAAAGATTATCCATGCTCATATGATAAGCTTGTTATATATATACATTTCAAATATTTAGAATGCAGCTTTATGAAAATCTTTGCTCCTTTTTATACCCCCCCCCCCCACCACTTTTCAAAAGAAAATAGATAAAAATAACTTTAAAAAACTACTCGTCCTCTGTATTCTTTTTTAGATCAATATAATTATCATATTTTGGTTTATCTAAATTTCTATTAGACCTTTATTATTAAACAGTACTTGTCACGAAATTAAAATTTTTAATTCTCAAATATATAAGTATGTCGTATTGGGATTTGGAATTCATAGGCATTCGGAATCTCGGCTTTTAAAATGCAATTTAACCGGAGATGTATTCCAGTATGTGTAGAGTAGCTATCCTATTAATTTCACACAAGTTTCGCCCATAAACTTATTTGTGTATTTATTAATAATTTATACTACTACTGGTTCAAAAGTTCGTGGTAGAATTGTCTGACATTCGCAGTCTATGGGTGCCTCCAAAGTCAAAAAAAATTGTTTTTTATTAAATAAATGATTCTCGCATTTATACATTATGCGTCCAAACTCGATTTTGTAAATATGAATACTAAAATACTTTTTAGGTCAAATAAGATTTTTTTTCAATTTATAAATCTCCCTCAGTAAATGCTTTAAAATTGAAAGATGCTATTATATTTTAATGGGAATATTGCAATTTTTTTTCTTTTAATGATAATAAATTTCTGTATTGTAAGCCTAAACAAATTGAGTGCCTAAAATAAATTTTCACTGAAATATTGTTTATTTTTTAAATAAAATAAAGTTTTGGGTATGGGCTTGGGAAATTTTTTTGAAACTTATTATGAACTTAAGCCGGACTTGTGAATTTTCATTATTAAATATGGGCTGCTCCTGAGCCTAATTTTTTTAATACAGGCCTGGGTCAGGCTTGATATTAAAATTAAGGTCCACGAGATTTCTGATCACAATTATATATAGACATTCTTGAGCATTAGGTCATAATATTCATTAGTATTGTCATTCAATTTTTTAGTAGTCCTTAATATAAAGTCTAAAAATACTTGCCCCAAGATTATAATTTATATTTTTAAATATATATAACATTCTCTTACGAGCAATTAGTTCATATTATTTCATTAGTTTTGTCATTTAAATTTTTGTTAGGCCTTATTATTTTATCGTGTTGTTCAGCTCGATTTGAACCGATTTTTAGAAACGGCTATCATTTAAATTTCTATTAGGCCTTATTATTCAAAAATGCTTGTCCCGAGATTGAAATTGATATTTTCAAATATATATATAAAACTACGAGAAATTAAATCTTATTATTTATATTGATATTCTATTTATTTTGAATTTATCAGATTCGATTAACAATCCAAAGAAACCTTTCATTGAGTTCAGATATCCGAAAAAACGAATAAAGCCCACTACCGTCACAGATATCCTTTTTATGAATATTTTCCACTTTTATTTAAAACAATGATTAAAGCACCTTTTTTTTTAAAGATATTCTTATTTTCTTTTTTAGCAAACTGATTGATAAAAGTAGCAAACTGGCTGTTGCCTAAATATGTAGAAAAATAAAAACATTGTTATTATAGATTAAAAATCACGTTTTTAAAAAAATGGATTAAAATATAAGGTAATGAGTGGCGTAAAGAAAGTAATGCTCTTAATTCGTTACTTGTTTTTAATTGTAACGCCATTACTTACTTTTTTATTTAAAAAAGTGACTACCCGTTACCATATATTATATATCATGTATATACACTTACAAAAAAATAATCATCTTTCTTAACTCAAACCTTATAAAATTTATTATTGAAAATATACGACCATATATCATTTATCAGCTCAACGAATTCGATATACAAGATGATCTCTTAGCTATTAAGAAAGTAATTTAATTACTATTTTTTAGTTAAATATAATGCAAATGCATTATACGACATTTAAATTAATTCGCTATATATATTCTTTCTTTTTTTATATTAGGAAGCTCAAGAATACGCAAAGAATTGTAAGCTAAAAACTGTTTTCATCATTGGCGTTTCTTATTTATTGTCTTTTTAAAACGGCATCTTTTCTTGATTTAGGCAAAAAAATAGAATGTAATTTAGGCTTACTCAAATTATATATAGACTTGACTGAATACGCCTTCTCTCTAGAGCGATGCCATTAATTTCATAAATAAATTTATTAATCACTTATAAATGCTCTCTTTTTAAACAAATTAGCACAAGAATTATATGTGCAACAGATTATAGGACTTCCAGTCATGAATCGCGATATCACATAAATAATTTTTAAACCAAACCAGAATAGATAAAATATTTACATAAATATATAAAAAAAATAAATATTATAATTTTATTATTCTGTACTATAAAAATAATTAAATTATTATTATATTTATTGTTTACATATTATATAATTAGGGAAAGTGTTTATATATCAAATAAAAATTACATTATTTTATTTAGTATGTTTATTAATTTCAATATTAGAGCTTCCATCTAGAGGCCTGCAATGGACGGGCCAGTTAAAATTGATCATTGGCTGGTGGCGAGCAAGTTAAAAAATATTTTTAAAACATTAGGAGGGGTCTTGCAAAATCAGCAGAACAGACTTCTATTTATTAAAAATATTTTATTTTATGATAATACATATTTTATAATTGTAAGTAAAAATACATCAAAATAAATAGCCAACCAAATAATTTTTGAAACATTGGGCAGATGAGTTAAATAAAATTTTTAAAAAAAAGGGCGGGCCAATAAATTTTTTTTTAAAACAATTTTAACAATGGGCGAGCTATCCTTTGGGTTAAACTCCGTCTATTGCAGATCTTCTGTCATCCCTCATAACATTTACTAAAATAGTGTTTCTAGCAGGTTGTTCCAAAATTTCTGTCTAGACTATTGAAGCAAAATGTTTCCTTGAGGGCTCCCCTATCCCAATCTATCTTGACTCAGCCACCTTTTAAAAGTCATTTAATTTCCACTGACTTTCCTTCTTCAATAAGCCAATTTAATAAGATGCATGCATTAAAAATAAATTTTAATTGCACAATAAAAAAAATTTAAAAAAGACATCTTTAAATATAAGAGATAAATATTTAATAAAGTAATTTTAAATAATGTTCTTTTACAATTATACTAAAAAGTCGAAAGCTAATTTTGTTTTATTACTTTTCATAAACACGGATATTTGCAAAAAAAAGAAAGAGCGAATCACAATGTTCAGCAATTTATTTTTTTATTAATTAAATTTTAATGCTGATAATGTAACATTAAACACATACCAATATTATACTCATTAATTTATAACTAAAATTCTCAATATGGCTAGTGTTGTAAAACTAGAGATAGACACTTTATTTAAAATGGGTCCAAATCTAAAATGATTATGAAAAATTTATAATTTTTTTAAAAATCTTCAATAGAACAAATATAAATTTTGAGACTAAAAACAAAAAAATATGGGTATCAATTATAATTTTAAGCAAATTGAAAGAATGACTTTCTCAAAAATCATTAATACAAATTTCTAAAGATGGTGCCTTTAAGGCTATTGTTGTACAGCAACATGAAAGTTTTAATTTATATTTAGATATAAACATTTATAAATTATATTTTAGATTTGCTTAATGCGCAATATAAACTACAATTCTATGATGCATCTCATTTTTTATATATTTTTTGCTTAATTCACTAAATTTTTTATACTTGATATAATAAAAAGTTATTTGTATAAATACTTAAAAGGCTCTTGTTGTACAGTAACATGAAAGTTTTATTTAGATATATAATTTGAAAATATATCATATTCTTTCAATTTGCTCAAATGACCCAATGTAATAAAAACCAGGGACCCGGAGTGAACCGAAACTAACCGTTAAACCATTATAAACCGTTTTAAATATCCGAACCGATATAATAATTTTGAAGGAGGAAAATAACTATAAAAAAACATTAAACCGGTTTAGTTTTTATATTTTAGGAATCAAAAAATTTGAATATCCAGAATTATAAAAACTTGCTCTTATATTACTGGCGGTTCCCGCAACACACGTTTCTGTAGAAATAGCCTTTTCGGGGCTAAAATTTGTGTTATCACAACAAACAAATATGAATCCATTTATATTAGAAAATATATTACTTATAATATATTTAAAATTGAGTTATTTTGAATCTTATATATTTTTTTTATATATAATTCATAGATGTTTATAATAAAAATAAATTAGACGATGGTGTTGCTTCAATAAAAAAAAAAATTTTAATCATAATGAACCTTTATAATTAACTGAACCGAACCTTTGTAAATTTTTTCTTAAGAACCGTAACCATTAAAATTTTTTACATACTGAACCGTAACCAAATTGAACCGTTATAAATAATGGTTCGGGTCCCTGATAAAATCTGCAATTCCATAATGCATCTCATTCTTGATTTTTAATTTATATTTTTTATATTTGACATTTCATATAGTATACTTGATAGCCTATAATAAAAATATATTTGTATAAATATCAAACAATTTTAAATTTAAGTTACTATTTAGCTTAATTTTTTTTACTGCTCAATATTTTATAAATATTGCCTAAATTATTTTTTTTGACCATTTTGATAAATTAACTGCACAAAAATTTATAAATACAGACCTGTGCGCCAATCAATTTATTGGCGACAGGCGTGAATTTTAAAAATTTAACTGGTGGCCAGCGGCGCAACGATTTTTTGCCGCGTCAACATAGACTGCATAAATCGGTGCACTGTTATAAAATTTTTTATAACATATTTTTTTAATTGCTAATTAAATTTTTAAAGAAAAATTAAATTAAAATATACACTACACTATAGATATCTCGGCATATTTTTAGATCTTTATTTACAAAACATAAATTCAAAGTCGATTTTGTTAATTTTATAATTATCATATATAAATTTCCGGGCATAATCATGATCTCCTTGAATTCATCATCAACCCGGCGGTAGAGAAAACTCTTTCATTAAGTGTGACATTTTCCGAAACACAGAATTTTTTAGCTAGCGTAAATTCGATTTCCAGAAATTTAGTACATCCATATCTTGTGAATGGCGTTTTCAGAAAAGAATATGGCATTCTTATTCTAAATCACTTAAAGTGGGATCATAATTTGTACTGGTTAAATGTTTAGTAGCTAATTTTGACAAATAATTTGAATATAAGATTTCATATTGATTCTCAATCAATTTATTTACTTCAATCTACTTAATAATTAAGCCGTGAGTAATTTTGTACTATAAATATACTTTGACACAATTTTCAATTTTGAAATCTTGGGTCTAAAAAGGAATCCAAGATGTAGATTATTTTTGAAATAAAAAATAGATTAAATAAATGAATATACTTATATATTATTATTTTCAGATCACAACCAGAAATCCTAAGGCAAGATTTTTCAGTATATTTTCCTTTATGGAAATTATTTCCAAGCTATTACTATTATCTGTGTTTCAATTTAACTTCTAAAAAGTGATATCAAGTTTAAAATAAGTCTTTTTGTGCATATAGAAATTCAACTGTTTCTTTAAATTTTGAAAAAGCTAATAGTTTTATACTAGATCTGATTCATAGTTTGAAATAAAGTTTCCCAATCTTTTCAAAACGTTATTAATTAAATTTTTATTTGCTCCAGATATGCTTTCAAGTATAATTAATATATTTTGCCACCTGGTTGGGACTTTTAATTTTGACATTTTCATATGTGTGGCATTATTATTATCATTGGATTAGCAATTTGAAAATGGGTTTCAGGTTAGAGCTAATAATTTCTAGCATATCTGATGTTAGATCTAAAGTTTTAGTCATTTTCTTTGGTCTGCATCAAACTCAAATTCAATCTCTGCAGTTTTATATCTTAGGGCACTAATATTTTTTCTTATTTTTTTGATAGGATTTTCAACATGTTTTAATAGGTATAAAATAAGAATTCATCAAAATCCTATTTGACATAAAAAGTCAACAGTGATTTTGACTAAAAATGCATAAAATATGGAAATTATTCTAAAAATTTGGTGATTTTCATAAAAGGCGGCGTTTTGGCGTGGCCAAAAAATATGCGCATTGGTCTAAGTATAAATAAATTATTAATTTTATATGGCAATATCCCAATTATTAAAGCTTATACAATCTTTAAGTGTTGTTGGTGACACGCTATTTCGCTTTGTGGTCAAAAGATAAACGTATTATGTGTTGTATTATTTTGTATAAAAAGAATGGGTTTCCTTTTTTTACAAAAACAAAATTGAATATTTATCAAAGACCTGCAGATGGATGAAAGACCCGGCCATTTTTAGGCCCGGTCCAAATATATTACTTTTATAAAAAAAATTTATAGCTAATAATGGGTTTTATAATATCCTGTTTTAAAATATACGACCAGAGTATTTAGAAAAAAAATTGTTTAGGCCAGGGCAGAGTATATTTAAAAAATTTAAATACAGCCAGACCCATGTACCCGGGCGGGCTTCGGGCCGGGTTAGCAGGACTCTGATTATATATTATTTAGCTCAAAATTTTTGTTTCATTTAATTTTACACAAAATTATAAAAAAAAATATTTAAAGCGCAGAATTTTTACTGAATTCCACATTTTTCTTAAAATCTAAGATGATTTCTGAGCGGTTCATTTTTTTAAAATTCTTACCGTTTCTAGTAAAAAAAATCTGGTCATTTAAAATTCTTTATTTAAAAAACTGAACATTAAGGAAATAATTCTGAGTCATGAGAATTTTTAACCAAAACCTTATTTCTGAGCGATTAAATAAGGAGTCCTTTCTTAACACATATATATATTACCTAAAATCACCAACTTTAACATATCTTTATTAGTTTTTGCTGATTAAAATTAGCCGAATGCCCTTCTCCCCAGTCCCTATTTATTTCCCATTGTTATGAAGATAGATTAATAAAAAAAAACTATTGTAATTTATTTCTTTATCAATAGATCTAACTTTTATATACGTTTGTTTAATTGGGTTTGGAATCTCTTCACAATTGATTTTTTTTCCTCTTCATAAAAAAAAAGCTTTATGTTTAAATATCCCAGCACATTTTATTATAATTCATTTATTATTAATAATATACAATATGAAAGATTTTAAAGTTTAAATATCCCACCAATTTTTATCATAATTCATTTATTATTATTAATATACAATATAAAAGATTTTAAATAAATAGTATATATAAATAATAAATATTTTGATAAAATAATTTGCATATAATTTGTTATTTATATTATACCAATAATCACGACCCATCTCCCCTGTTACTCTTCATTCGCAGCGAAGTAAACAAAAATGCTTGTATATTTCGTCGCGAATTCGCGCTAACTTTGAATGCAGAGTTAAAGCATAAGCATTAAAATAATTAAGCATTATTTTAAAAAAAAAATAAAGCTATGGTATACAAAAAATAATAATTGCCTAAATTATAAATTAAATCATAGCGAAGATTAGATCGTTTATAGAATAAATATTATCGCGAAGTTTATTTTTTTTTTGGCAGGTTATTATAACTTAAGGTCAGAATGTCTATGATGGATTGACTATCGTATTGTAATATTTTATGAAAAATTTATCATTATGTTATAAATTACCATTACATTACTCAATATAATTTAGAAAAGTAATTGGTATATAAACGTTTATAATAAAATAAATAAAATTACACGAAATTATTTTTAAACAAAAATATTTTTTCATAAACTTCAAAAAAAAAATTTTTTTAGAGCACATATCAGAAATATTTAGTTTTAAAAAGTGTTTGCGAAAGAGGATAATTTAGATTCCGGGTTATTGAATAAAACATCTGGTGTATCCATTTCTACTAACTTTCCCCTCTCTAAAACCATTATTTTATCACATCGCGTTAAGGTTTCTAGCCTGTGCGCTATTATGAGTATTGTACTATTCTGCAAGGCCGGGCTGTTGAATATGCAATCCATTATAAAATCTTGGCTGGGCTTATCCAGATTCGATGTTGGTTCATCTATTAAAATTACCTTAAACATGTGTTTTTTGTTTTAATAATAATTCTTTTTTAAAAAAGTTTTAATTATATTTTTAAAAAATGGCCAAAACACCAATATGTAACCCCGAAATGATCAAAAAATTCGTACTGCAAATAGAAATTCTGAGATTCCTATCATTTCCTAATCTCATAGGATTTTCCAGCATAGGCTTTGAAAAAAAAGATAAGACTACGTGGGAAAATTTTGATTATTATTTAAATCAAACTTTGATAAAATAAATTGGAAAAAAATGAAAATAAAATAAAAGATTGCCTTTCTTTCACTTATAACGGCTCTGGCGAGAGACAATATCTGTTTTTGACCGTGAGACAACTCGATTCTATTTTTAGTATAGTTTGAACAAATATTATTGATAGAGTTAGGCATCTCTGAATCGGGAGACGACGTTGTTGAAACTAAGGTGTCCAAAGTTATTCCTCCTTCTAGGATACTGCGATTTAGATCAGACGCGTGAAGTCTTTCGATTATTTGTGAATCTGTAAATAATCTTTGAGGATCCAGATTAGTTCTAATGGAAGCCGGCAGGATAAAGGGAGATTGGGGTACAACGGATATGAGGTGACCTAGCAGTGAGATAAAACAATTAATTCATTAAAAATGAAATCTTTAAAAAAAATACTCAATGTTAACCTTTTAACGCTGAAAATTTTATGCCTCTCCCCTTATGAAACATTACACGCGAGTTATAACTATTTTTTAAGAGGAAGGGGGGGGGGGGGTATAGGCGTATCCAGGATCTAGCTAAGGGGAGAAGCACTTAGATGAATTTTTTCCCCATAAATTTTATTGCAGTCTTTAAGTCCACTTATTGTAGGCCTTTGGCTATATTAAATTTTTATAAAAATAATTACGGGTTTTCACCTTTTTTTTATTAAAACCATATTTTTAAAAAATATTTTGAATTATAGTCTTTAATTTTAAAAAGTTATTAACTTTTACTAATTGTTCTTTCAAATTCTTCCCTATAATGAAATATTTTATACATTTTTAAGAGGAGAAAGGGTGGGGGGGGGACGGGGTCTAGGGGGAAATTTTTTATTATCCTAAAATGATGTCTACGATAACACACTGGGGAGATAACCCCCCCCCCCCCGGTTACGCGCCTGGGGGAGGTTAAGATACAAATCAATCTAAACATTTGCGCTCATTAAAGAAAAACATTTCAAAAGTAAAGTATCATTACAACTTACATAAAAATGAATTACTTTGCATATTTAAAAAATATGATATACATCAAATTATGAAATGATATTTAAGGTAATAATAAAATGTATTATAATTAGTTACAAAAAATCCTAAAGGATAGCATTTTAACAAAAAATATATATAAATAATAAAACGATTCGTAGGTACCCCTTAGTAACGAAGATCTAACGTTAATCAGATCGTAACCGCTAACACTGATGAACGGAACGATGTCATTCTCGATCCGTGATAATTTGGTCATTTTGAGCAAAGTCGCGAATAGCGTGCTTTTTCCTGCGCCCGTTCTTCCTACCACTCCTATCCTCTCGCGCGAATTGATGGTAAATGAGACGTTGTTCAAAGCTTATTATAAAAAAAATGAACTTTTATTATTAAAGAAATGGTATGGAAAATATAAAAAAAGTCCTATATTTTCAAAATTTACCCAAAAAATAATCGCGAGAATTGTCGTCATTAGAATTATAATCAACTGAAACGTTTCGGAATATGATATCTCCAGCACGGTCGTTAGATTCAACTTCTTCAGTCTTTTCACTTCGCATTTCCTTTACACTATCTGTCAACCATATTGATATTTTAAAAAAAATTAGAATTTTATTATACTTTCTTTCTTAGCCTATGTCTTCACTAGCAATAAAAAATGTACCTATTAGCGCATTTTACTTTTGCAAAATCTGTAAACAATATAAACAGACGTGAGTGTCTTAGCAAATATTATAGCATTTTTATTTCGCGCATTAATATAAAAAAAAGAATTATTTCTACAAAATGCTCGTATTCGCGGATTTTTTTAATTGCCTACGAAGACAGCCTTAAACATTCATTTTATACCATTGACATATTATACTACCTAAGTTAACGATTCATTATTGTGTATCAAAATCATCTGGTGATATGCCATTTTAGAATTCCCATAAAAATAATTTTATTTAAAAGTTTATAAAAAAAATTAAAAAAAATTAGAGTTTTATTTAAATATTTTTCTTTTATGCGAGACCAAAATGGAATGTTACCAATTTGTATCAACTTCAAAATACATTTTAATGAATGAATGAATCGCTGGCAAGTACTTATATTGTCATTGATTTATATATAATATTATAATTGACTGTACCCTAGGATAGTGGGAGTGGCTAGATTTTTAACTTAAGGGGAGTTCATATATTTTAAAAATTCCAACATTTAAAAAAGTAATTCTACCTAAAATTTCCGACATTTAAAAACTACCTAAAATTTGCAAAGAAGAGGAATCATATCAATATTTATAAAGGGCCTATAAAGTTTTCAAGAGGAGCTTGAGCCCCTATGCGCCATGCCCATCCAGTGGCGTAGCTAGGAATTTTTCTTAGAGGGGGTCCATACATATAAAAGCTGGGGGCTTCGCCCCCCAGCAGGGTTTATCTTACAAATCATAATCATATCTTCGATAATATATAATAAATATATTTTTTAAATGCATCAATAATATGTTATTATAATTTAGTAGATTATTCTCAATTATAATAATACTATCCAGAATAATTTCAATAGTAATATAATATCCTTCCACAAACATCAAAACCAGAAAAATATAATTCATATAAAATCACTTTTAAGTCTTTTGAACGTATAATCTCAAAAAAAATTTTGCTCTGGGAGGGGTCCAAACCCGAAAACCACCCCCGTAGCTACGCCACTGTGCCCATCTAAAGAAGATACTGCTCTCGAATATGTCCATGCTTACGCCTACAAAAATACGAATCAAATATTCGTAATTCGTACGAATCGAAATTAGTAGAATTCAATAATCATTTATTCGTTGAATCCAAAAATTATTTATTAGCATTCGTATAAATTATAAAATTAATGTTTGATTCGTAAAATACGATTCAAATCGAATAAAAAATTCGCTTTAGGTATACACGTGCGTGATCATTAATAAAGAAAAGGCTGAAATAGAAAGGTGGGGGGGGGGGGGCTAACAAGTTGATCCTTACTTTTCTTTCTCTTTTTCCAATCGATCTTTCTCTTTGTTCCTCAAGTAAAAGTATTATATATAAAAAAAACCATATGAGTCATCTTCGGGTGTCAATGAGTCACCGAACTCTTTAATTCTTTCCACGCTAATAAAATCTTTCTCCGTATCAACCAAAATGGTAACCAGGCCTCCCAATCTAGCTGTCAGTGCTAAAAAGTAAGAGAGCGCTAAACCAATGGTGGCGCTAGTAAAATTTAAACAAATATTTTCATAAATTTCAATAATTAATTTAATTTTTTTTTAAAAAAAATTAGACTTTGTTAGACGCAGCATTGCTGATAAAATTTGATATAAAGCTAATTGTAGAATTATATTAATTATACTTATATTATAATATATTATATTTTAATATATTATTAAATATCGGTTTAGTAGTTAGCCTTTAATCTTAGGTGAAAAACGCGTTTTTCAGGAAAGAAACAAACGTTGTTTTTTGTAATTTTTATTAAATCTTTTTACTACTCCAATTTTTATGAAAAATATAATTTACAAATTTTATTGCTAAATTTTTTCAATATCACGATCTTTTTAAATATTGTCTGCCAATAATTTTTTATAATTACAATCGATACGATTACTAAAATTATTCTTATTGTCAATTATATTTACTACGTTTATGACAATTACAATCGATACGATTTCTACAATTGGTACACGAAACCCGGGACCTGGGCATATTTAGAAGTATCAGGTTAATTTAGATTTTAATGTGTTACATCATTTATACCTTGTTGGTCTTAACAGCTGTTCTATTGTTTTCATATCAGTCTTTTAGGATTTATTTGATTAAATTTTTTTTTCTTTATTATAAAAGGTAAGGGTAACAATGGCAAAATTTATATATTATACCATTAATCAGTTACATATTTTAGCACTGGTAGTATTACTAGTGCTTATAATAGTGTATTATATAAGGTTTTGGGTAGGTAAGTTGAGTATTAGAAAGGTCTGTGAAGGTGGTTGTAGTATGGGGCTTAGAATGGAGAGGAGTGCTGAGATAGCAGGTATAGGTAGTGGAAGGGGAGTAGCGAAGGAATTACGGTGTTTTATGTGTGGGCAGGAGGGACATATGAGTAGAATATGGAGGAGCGGGGTAGAGATAAGGAATATAGAAGGTTTCCGTAGATGATCTAGATGTGGAAAGGATGATCATTTAATTAAGGATTGTCCCGGGAGTCAGGAAAAAGGTGCATGACTTCAGAAGGGAGTGGGATAATACAAAATATTAGAATAAAGAAATATAATTATTTTTATAATATAGATATAGATAGTTTTTATAATTATTTTGATATATTTGCATATACTAATTATTGGTATAAATATCAGAGACCTGCAGAGGTACCATTTGCACGGCCCGGCCCCGCCCGGTTTTAAATTTTTTAGGCCCGGCCCGGCCCGGATATTTTAAAAAAAAAAATTTTTTTTAAATGACCTGGTATATACAAAAATTCACCTATGAGGTATTTTATAATATTTTTCAGCGAGTATTATCGCTTATTATTTAAAAAATGCATGTAAAAAGCTAATATTTTGAGAATATTATATTGAATTTATAAAAATTATAAAACAGTTATTTATAAAAATAGATATTTTGAGCATACTATATTTTATATTGCATTTATAAAAATAAAACTAATATTCATAAAAATGGTAATAATATTTGTCATATACTATATTTTATATTACATTTAAAGAAAATAAAACTAATATTTAATTTATAAAAATGGAAAATATTTTGAGAATATAATATATTGTATTTAATTTACTATTTAATTTATAAAATAAAAATAAATCGCTATTTAAAAAAATGCATGTATAATAAATAGTATTTTGAAAATATAATCTAATTGCACAATATTAATATAATTTATTTTATAATATATATTTTTAACAAAAGAAGATAATTGTATTATATAATATTGTAAAAAAAAATAATGAAAAATGTTGGATTAAAAACTTCCATGTCTCAAGGTAAATATAATAAATGCAATAAATATTTGACAGTTTGCAAAGTAAAAAACCAGCATGATTGACGAAACCCTATACTCAAGAAAGATATTAAAAATTCACAAATTATCATGAAGAAAGAGAAGAATATCTACCTTTTCAGGTTGAAGATTACTTCTTCTTTCTTCAAGAATTCTCCCAGTAGTGGAAAAATTCTGCTCACAGCTTGCACTTAAAGCAGGAATTGCCAATTTTGCTAAAATTGGAAATTCGCTTTGATGAGCCGCCCACCACTCTAACAAATTATCCACCTTAAATGTTTTATCTATTATTTATGTAATTATAATATTCATCATCGGGTATTGACATATTACCAGAATTACCATCGCCCCATTTGTCATAAAACGATTCAGTTTGATTAACAACAGTCGTAATTTGACTGGTCGATGGTAATTCATTTACTTCCTGAGCCTCTTGTAATTTAATATAATCTTTTATGTAGTTTTCCGTCATTTTGCGATCTGTCCCTGACTACATACGTAATTGCTTGAATTTGGGACAGAGAAAAAGAGAAATAAAATGATACTTGTGTAAAACAAATTTTTCAATTAAAAAATGCCTTATATTAAGTAAAATCAATTACAAACTTTAAGAAGTGATAATCCTTTATTTGATTGTTTTGGTAAAATATATTCTAAAAATTTAGATATGAATTATAAAAAAATTTATTAATAATACTTGAATATTGGGGCTTATTTAAGATATTCCTTTATTTGATTGTTTTGGTAAAATATGTTGTAAAAATTTAGATATGAATTATAAAAAATATATTAATACCTTGAATAAATTTGCAGGAAATTAATAATTAGATCGATCTGTGGTTGTTAGGTAGTGTTAACCATCACCCAATATTATATTAATCATAACTATAATATAATATAATCTTATAACCATTAACTCATAATGTAAAAATTTATATAAAAAATATTAAGGCCCGGCCAGGCCCGGGTTTAAAAATCTTAAGCCCGGCCCGGCCCGGATATATTTTAAAAAATTTTTTTTAAGCCCGGCCCGGGTATATTTAAAAAATTTAAAATACGGCTCGGCCATGCCCGGGCCGGGTTTAGGGCCGGGTCTGCAGGTCTCTGATAAATATTAAAGAGTAGATAGTAGATAGGAAAATTTTTATTAGATTTTTATATTTTATTAGTTATTATTTTAAAGTAAATATTTATGAAACGATTTTTAGAGTAGTTTTAAGTAAGTGTCAGTTTTATAGGATATTTTGGAAGGTAGTAGGGTTTTAAATATTATTATTAATTATTGTTTATTTAGTGATAGGGGTGATGTTATAAAGACGTATAAGGGCACAGTGTGTAAGGAAGAAAGGGGGGAAGGTTATCTAAAAAAGAGTCCAAAGTCCTGGTGGTATTTAGTCCTACAGTGAAAGCCAGGAGTGTGAAGTCTATAGGAGGTCCAAGAATAAAGGGTAATGTCCAGGGAGTGTCCTTAAGTCTACAAAGGGGGTTGGGTCAGGGATGTCTGGGTTCTTCCTATCTATTATAAACACTAGTCTTTAATTATATTTCCGATTAAAACCTGGGAAAAAAATGATCTTTATTATACTAAATCAGAAATCTAATAAAATTAGTATTGCATCAAATTACCAATATAATTTCTTTTAAATTAAGATTAAAGAATATATCTGTTTCCATGTTACTATACCAAAATAAAATCATCCCAATCTTACTCTTGTCCCCAAAATCCGCTTCCCTATTCCTGCCCCCAAAATCCGCTTTCTTGTTCAAATATCCCTTCTTTTACACCCGTATTCTTAATTGTTTAACATGACGAATAACCTTATCTCCTCCCTCCTCTAACCTTATTTCAACTTTTTTACACCCAATATTCTTTATAATTACCTTTTTCAACCACTTGCGAGGCACGGTCTTCTTGTTACCCTTCCTAAAAATAATTCCGTCACCCAATTACTCCTATTGAATTATTATAAAACAACTGCGCTAACCACACTTTTCCCTCCCCATATTTCTCCTTTTTCAACCATCCCTTCACTATTCCCATCATTCGCTCCGCTTGTCCATTTGATCGGGAATAATTAGGCAGAGACATGATATATATTATACCTAATCTGTCACAGATTTCTTTGAACCCTTTACTCTGAAAAGCAGGACCACCATCCGAAACAATCGTTTCAATTATCCCATAACGTCCACAAAAATCCTTAATCCTCTTTATTACTATTTTCGTCGTCAACCCCGTCACCTCACTGAAATCTATCCATTTACTATAAGCATCTACCATCAAAAAATAATACTTCTTATCCAACTCAAAAAAATCCACATGTACTCGTTCACCCACTCTTTGTGCCGGCTCCCATCTATCATTCTTATCCCTACCCGGTACATTCATCCACTCATTACAAGTGTCACAGCGTTTTACTATTTTCAGAATATCTGTATTTATATTCGGCCACCATATATATCTTCTTGCATCGCTCTTCATCTTACTACCTCCCTGATGACCAGCATGTAACATATTCAGCACTAACTCCCTTAAAGATTCCGGTCTCACCAATCTATATCCCCGAACTACATTACCCTCTACCAGACTTAGCTCTTCTTTTAACAACTCATACCTTCTATCCCTTATATCCCACTCACTTTCTCCTCTTAAACTGTTTACCACCCTACTCAATTAACCATCCTGACTTGTTGCTTTTACAATCTCCTCCCAACTCACGTAATCCTTGAATTTTTCACCTTTACCACATTAACCCGTCCTTGCTGGCTGTTTCCATCCCCTCTCCCATCCCTATCCACCTCCTCATTACTTATCTTACTCCCCTCGTTCAGTTTAATTTGTTCTACCACATATAATCTGGACATAACGTCAGGCATCCAATTCTCCCTCTCCTTCCTATACCTTAAATCCATATTGAATAATCCTACCAATAATAACCATTGTTGAAGCTTATTTGACAACATTAACTCCTGGTTATCTTTCTTAACCAACCCCACCAACGGTTTATGATCCGTATACGTTATAAAACGTCTACCTATCAAATATTCTCTACATTTTACTAATCCCATTGCTAACGCTTCCTTCTCAATCACCGAATAATTTTTCTCTGCTTCACTTAATGCTGTTGAAAAATATAATATCGGACGCTCCCTGCCATCTAATATATATAGCAATCCATCCCCAACTCCCCCATTAGACGCATGCGTTGACAACTCTACCTCATATTCTTCTATAAAACCCACCAATATAGGACTCTTACCTATCTCCCGTTTTAAATCCTCAATACTTTTTTCTTGTCTTTCCGACCATTCAAATCTACTATTCTTCTTAAGTAACTCATATAATGGTCTTTCTATACCAGCAAAACCCTCAATAAACCAATGATGATAGTTTATCATCCCTAAAAAGATTGTAATTCTAACTTATTTCTTGGCTCACGCATTTTAATAATACTATCAATATTTTTATTGATCGGCGTAATTTCAAATCCCTTAATGTTATGTCCCAACTACTCTATTTCCTGTACATCAAATACACTTTTTTTAACATTTGCTCTTAACCCTCTCTTCAAAATCCTTGCTAACACAATCTCCAATCTCTTATTATGTTCCTCCCTCGTCTTACCCACTATTAACACATCATCCATATAATAAAATACCCCACTAATCCCCGAAAACACCTCCGACATGACTTTCTGAAATACCGGTGCCGATAAACTTAATCCAAAGGGTAACCTTAAAAAATTAAATAAACCTTTTGGCGTATTAATTGTTAACATATCACTCATCTCCTTATTCACCCTTAATTGAAAATATGCATTACTAAAATCCACCTTTGAAAAGCATCTAGCCCCTCCCAAACTAGCTAGGACCTCTTCCACCCTTGGCAAAGGATATCTCACCTCAACTAAACCCGGGTTCAAGGTTATCCTAAAATAAGCACACATACGTAACTTACCATATGCCTTACGAACAGGTACTAATGGGGTAGCCCATTCACTATCCACCACAGGTATTATTATCCCTTTTTCTTTCCACCTATCTAACTCATTATTAATCTCCTCGCACCATTGGAAAGGAATTCTCCTTGAAGGTAAAAATCTAAGTCTGTAATCTTTCTTTATCCTCATGCTCACCTCATAATCCTTCAACGTTCCCAACCCCTCTTCAAATATCAAATTATATTTCTCCAACATTTCCTTAATTCCTTCTTTATCGCTTTCCCCCAACTCCTTCCACTCCGTCATTACTTTGTTCCCCACTGTCACCTCTTTCCCTAAACCTTTTCCAATTACTCTTATATACTCCTTTTCCCTCTCCACCCCCATGTATTTAAATCATCACACCATTTATAATGGTCCTACCCACCACAAATTATCCCATCCCAATATAATTTCTCAACTACACAAAATCTAATAAATTTATTAATTCCTGGTATTTGTACCCATGACTCCCCTTTATTTACAACCATCTGCCTATTTAACAAATACAATACCCTGTACGATTTATGTCCAGATTATATGTGGGGGAACAAATTGAACTTAAGGAGGGGAGTAAGATAAGTAATGAGGAGGGGGATAGGGATGGGAGAGGGGATGGAAACAGCCAGCAAAGACGGTTCAATGTGGTAAAGGTGAAAAAATTCAATGATTACGTGAGTTGGGAGGAGATTGTAAAAACAACAAGTCAGGATGGTTAATTGAGTAGGGTGGTAAACAGTTTAAGAGGAGAAAGTGAGTGGGATATAAGGGATAGAAGGTATGAGTTGTTAAAAGAAGAGCTAAGTCTGGTAGAGGGTAATGTAGTTTGGGGATATAGATTGGTGATACCGAAATCTTTAAGGGAGTTAGTGCTGAATATGTTACATGATGGTCATCAGGAAGGTAGTAAGATGAAGAGCGATGCAAGAAGATATATATGGTGGCCGAATATAAATAAAGATATTCTGAAAATAGTGACATTTGTAATGAGTGGATGAATGTACCGGGTAGGGATAAGAATGATAGATGGGAGCCGGCACAAAGAGTAGGTGAACGAGTACATGTGGATTTTTTTGAGTTGGATAAGAAGTATTATTTTTTGATGGTGGATGCTTATAGTAAATGGATAGATTTCAGTGAGGTGACGGGGTTGACGACGAAAATAGTAATAAAGACGATTAAGGATTTTTGTGGACGTTATGGGATAATTGAAACGATTGTTTCGGATGGAGGTCCTGCTTTTCAGAGTAAAGGGTTCAAAGAAATCTGTGACAGATTAGGTATAATATATAACATGTCTCCGCCTAATTATTCCCGATCAAATGGACAAGCGGAGCGAATGATGGGAATAGTGAAGGGATGGTTGAAAAAGGAGAAATATGGGGAGGGAAAAGTGTGGTTAGCGCAGTTGTTTTATAATAATTCAATAGGAGTAATTGGGTGACGGAATTATTTTTAGGAAGGGTAACAAGAAGACCGTGCCTCGCAAGTGGTTATAAGGGGTAATTATAAAGAATATTGGGTGTAAAAAAGTTGAAGTAAGGTTAGAGGAGGGAGGAGATAAGGTTATTCGTCATGTTAAACAATTAAGAATACGGGTGTAAAAAAAAGAATAATATAGAAGGGATATTTGAACAAGAAAGCGGATTTTGGGAGCAGGTATAAGGAAGCGGATTTTGGGGGCAGGAATAAGGAAGCGGATTTTGGGGACAAGAGTAAGATTGGGATGATTTTATTTTGGTATAGTAACATGGAAATAGATATATTCTTTAATCTTAATTTAAAAGAAATTATATTGGTAATTTGTTGCAATACTAATTTTATTAGATTTCTGATTTAGTATAATAAAGATCATTTTTTCCCCAGGTTTTAATCGGAAATATAATTAAAGATTATATATGAGTGTTTATAATAGATAGGATTAGAAATATTTTATTATAGAAATCAATTCATAACTTGCTCGTTTTTAAATTGAGTTTATTTTTAAAAAATCAACTTCTTTATTTTATTTACAAGAAAATTACTTTTTAAATTAAATTTTTGAGCGTTTCGAAAATTTAATTACAATAATTTTTTAAGCATATTTATTTGTTTTATTTTTTTCGCTGTTTTCCCCGTATTTTATATTTAAAATAAACAGTCTTTTTCGTTTTATATGTTTTTTTTAATGTTTAATAATGCTGCTTTTAACAATGAAACACTCATAAGCTTCAATTAAAACACAAAATCAGGCACGTAAGTTAGGCGAGCAAAATTCACAGATTTAAATAAATTATATCATCCTATTTAATGCTATATTGGGGCGTCCTAGCTATTTTCTTAAGGCTGCTTTTAATACGCTTTTCGCTGTTAAAAGATTGGAGATAATACTTAAAGTTTTACTTGTAAGTCTGCGTCAAATAAATGAGCTAAGATAAAAGCTTAGCACTCACGCGGAGCAAAAAAAATTTTACTCGTCAATTGTGGCGGGTAAGTATTTGTTTTGCAAAGTTATCATGACAACCAAAGCGGAAATAAAAATGGTTCCAAATAATTGAAGTCTGATATTAAGCCATTGACTGAGGGCGTTGGAATTAAAGGAGACGGTTAGGTAGGCGTCTACTGTTCGAGCAAATCCCTTTGTAAAGCGGTTTAACGCGGGTGCAATGTGCTGAAAGACTTGATGTGGTTTCGAAGGGAAATTTTAAAAAAAATTACCTAATATGTAAGAACGGATAATAATGATTTTTAATGTTTCACTCAAAGTTTGGAAGATTAAAAATAAGATCCCTATTTTAAATATTTTAATAAAGGTTCGTCTGGTTTCGCTTTTTACATTCTTTTTAAAAGAAGTCTATACCGGTTTTTAAAATAAAATTTAAAAATTTGTGTTCCCGGATTTTTCTTGGATGACGTGGCTCCCTTAGTTCCATGTTTAGTCTAATTAAATTTAAATTATGTTTATATTTTCAAAAAAGTTTTTTTCCAAGTAGAAAACAACGTAACTAACCCGAGCTTTTTATTATTCTCGCTCCATCATCTCCATTCTCATAGCGATTTCCTGTTAGCCCCATTTCAAATATCGTTTCCTTATCAACCCCGCACCACATGTTTCTGACGTGAACTTTTCCTTCGATGGCCTCCCCAGCTCTCGCTAACACAGGACTGAGAGCCGAAGCTTCGAGTCTTCGAATTTCTCTGGATGCTCCCCGGTAAAAACTTTGCAAATCCAGGTAGAGTAACGTGGTCAAAGGTAAGGTTAGTGGCACGAGCATAGGTTGGGCCCAAAATCCGACGCATAAAGCACCTGCCAAGCCGAATGCCTGAGCGAGCAGAATGTTCGAAGCAAAAGGGAGAGAATTGTCAACCGTATAGGTGTCGGCGGAGAACCGATTTAATAGACACCATTCGATCGAGGGTGAAGTTTTATTCGTATTGGATTTGTTCTTTTTTTTAATTTTACTTTAAAAGATAAAATATTTATATATATTTATTACAATATAATTATAAATATGTAGTAAAACTTTACCTAGTTTGGGGACCCCTGGCCTGATCAAAATTTCTAAATTATAGATGTTCACTTTTTTACTATTTTTTAAAATAAAATATTTAAGTTAGACGCTGTTTTGGGTCCAGTAATATCTTTTTTTAAAATTAGGGATGCATCATAAAAATTAATCAGATCTTAATAAGGCAAATTGTGGTTACGTAGATACCGGGGCAGTTTTGGGATTAGGAGTTAGCCAGACCAATAAAAATATGTTCAGAAAGTTAAAATTCTCTTATATTCAAATAAACAATGTTTTTTTAATATAAGGTTTATTTAATATATCAGAGACCTGTAGGCCGGGCTCTAAGTCAGGCCCGGGTACATGGGCGGGCCATATATCTTAAATCGCCATTAGCTATAAAAATTAAAAACAAAAATATAATATATTTTAAAAAAATCCGGGCCGGCCCGTGAAATGGTACCTCTGAGATATGATAAATATTATAACTTTTCTGATGTTATACCTTTACTTTTAGTTAATAAGATATTATTAAATTTTCATCAATTTTTCCTTGATTGTAATGACATATTTTGATGATATTTTAATGACGTATTACTCATCGTTCTTATTGGCCGATAGGTCAGCGCGCAGGCATGAACTAAATAGTTCAGCATGGCATCTTCTAGCGGCCACAAGTCCTCCGAACGCAAAAATGAAGCTTCTAGCAGCAGTGAAAAGAGAATTCGTTAAGCCCAGGAGAACGTAAACAAATAGGAATAGACGGAGGGAATAATTAAGGGTGTCTATGTGGACCCAGGCTTGAGGAGTATCGGGTTTTTGTATGTTAGGTGAGTTAAGATTGATGTTGTGATATTTTGTGGTACTCAAATATGCATTAAGTGTATTATGGATCTCGTCAACTTTCAAGGTGTGCTCTGCATTAATCAAATTTCGGCCAGTATTATAATTAGTTAAATTAAAAGGGTTAATGGTATTTAATAAATTATGAAGAGTATTTTTTATTTTCCTAGAGGATTTTGTCAGTTGATCATAAGTCTTCACGATAGGCGGGAAAATGTGAGAATCGTTGATCAAGCGAAACGCATGGCCTATGGAAGTATGATGCGTTATGTGAGAAGGTGACGATAATTTAGGAAAATTCGAGCTAATCATTAAAGGGATAAAGCGGTGAAAAGAGTGAGAAATGTATTCAATGGAAGATACCGGCCCAAATATATCCAATGCGGAGGGATGGTTAAGGACTTTAAATAAAGGTGTCAATGATAAAGGTAAAGCATAATAAAAAGTTGTATTGGGCGGCTTTGTGTGATTATTATCATTATCATTCGGGGAGTGCGAGGGGCGCGTTTCGTCAAAACTGGAATAAGTTAACCACCAATCGCAGCCGTTTCTGGTTAGCTGCATGGCGAGGAAAGACAGTAAAATGGCGCAGAAGAGAAAGTACCCCACACTACGAATGTAATATGTCAACGTGGACGCGTGTATGGTTCGACCGTTACTGCTTTCAAATTCGGTGGATTCTGGTGATTAGATTATGTTATATTATTTAATTATAATTTTTTTTATTTTAAAATGTTATAAGTAAAAAAAACCACAATTTATTACCATCTCCCGATAAAGTATCTTCCACAAAATTTCCTATATCATTCAGGCACTTTTCCGGCATATTTTCTTTAGTCATCAAATCTTGATGGCCATTATCTTTCCTCGAGATTTTGTCATTGTTATAGACTTGCCCATTTTGTATATTCAAGTGACCATTCCCGTCTAGGTTCCATATAATAACGCATCTGTTCAAAATGGCCTCTGTAGCGCGACCGCACACGAAAATTACCACTTTCCCACACCGCCCCACCAAGAAGCCTAAAAGAATTTTAAAAAATCATTTTAAAAAAATCCTATTATATTTTATAATATAGGTCGGAGAGTTGGATATTTTATTTTAAAAAAATTTTGCACAAGTTTGTCCGAAATTTTTTGGTCCGGGCCGCGCCAACCTAATATTTTATATATTATTAAAAAAAAATTAATAAAAAAAGAAATGTTAAGGTTAAGCATATATAGTTTATTAAATTAATTTACAAAGGAGGAATACCGAATAACGATTTTTTTTAAAATAAATAATAACCAAGTATTTTACATATTATATTATTTAATATATTTAAGATCTCCTTTTTTTTAAACTGGTTTTGAGCCAAAAGAAAAAGGAAGAAAAAAAAATTTCGTGATGGTTTTAAAATAATGTGTTTGCTGGTCTTAGTGTCTTGTTTAAAGATTTTAAAAAAAAAATTTAATTTGTCATTTCAATCATTTATGCATAAAAATAACAAAAGATTTGCCTAAAAAATAATATGGAATTTTAGGAAAAATTGGATAGTCAGCAAAAGATAAACTATTTTTATATAATATTGTTTAATAAAACATATGAAGAAAATTATATATCTTTGGTAGGTCAGTATTTCAAAGATTCAGACTAGAGGGGTTTACAAACAATAAAGATAAAATAATGCTGAGGATGATAGCTGGGGTAAAAAGACGGATAAAATAAGAAATATAAATTTACTAGAAAGTTTAAAAGTATTACCTATTAAAATAAAGATCATGGTAAACAGAATAAGGTGATAAGGATGTAGGATGAGGCCTAAAAACTATATTAAAAACAAGGTTAAGAGACTAGAGATGAGTAAACGAATGAGAGGAAGGCCAAAACTCCAATGGGCTCACCACAAAGTTAAAGCCAATATTGTAAAATATAAATTAAATTGAATAAAATGGATTGTATGAATAATTACAAATGGAAAGATATATTGAAGGAGTTTACTACCCAAAAATGTGAAAGCTAAATAATCTTCTATCCATTTCCAAATAAAACGAATTTGTGTTAAAAAAATTTCCCTGATGCCGCCCAAAATTGTATTATATCTTTTAATTATGTATAAAATCAACCTAGATACAAAGAACCCAGGCCTAGCTACTTGAAAAATTCAAAGCTCCACTCCCATTTAATTTTTAAGTTCGTTCGGCTCTGAGCTGGTGGGACTACCAAACGACTAATACTTTAATCCACATTTTAACAGGTGCGACATCTATTTCTATTATATTATTTCATCTCATCATTTTAAAAAAAAAATGCAAAAAATAAACGAAGATTGACATGAAATGAATTTAATATAAAGCTCGAAACAGAGTCAAAAAATTCTAAGACTATTTTATATTCAAAAGAAATTGATCAAAAAACTTATATATATACCCAAAATGGCTTTATAAAACACGTGACTCGCCACATGATTATCCAATGCTGCCATTGGCTCATCCAACAGGTAAAGGTCAGCGTCTTGATACATAGCCCGAGCCAGTGATATGCGGGTTCTTTGGCCACCACTGAGAGAGTTTCCAGTGGTTTCAGCACCATCAGGGCAGACCTGAAAAAAATAAAAATTGCCTAAAACAAATTTCAAAATTTTAAATCATAGACAACGTAATTCGTATTTTAATAATAATGCAGTAGTGGTAACAAAGACTAAAAAACCTGTAAATGACACCATCTCCTTATCTTGACATATTAACTAGGTCCCATACAAACTCTTACATTTTTCAAAGTTGTCCTATAATTATAAACCACCTATATATGTTGTCCAAGACGTAACTACCAATGAGCGGTCGCTCACATTGTTGTCTGTCTATAAAATGACAATTTATTATTAAAAAATACTTATAAGAAGGGGTTATGTTTCGCGCGATAATATCCTATTAATTCTCTTAACTATAAATTATCTATTAAATATCATTACAATAAAATTAACTACTAAATTTATAGGGGCATGTTAGGATTGGAAAAAAAAATTTTTAGGTGAAAAAAACAAAAACAAATGTTATTATGTATTTTTTATATTTAAATCTACCAATATTTTATTTCCAATTTTTCTATAATACAATCTTATAACTCGTGCATTTTATTAAACCGCTTTTAGCATTAAAAAAACTAAATTATTTATATTATTTTATAAGAAAATTAATTTATATGTTTCAAAATTTCGTTAAAATTATATTTAGGACTGCTTTATAAAATGTTTTTTCTTCCATAGGTCCGTGAAAAAAAGAGGGAGTGGGTGCCAAATTTCGTTTCTTTGAATTTAAAATTGAATTTTGATAAAGTATAAATATTTCATAAATTATACGCTTAATATTTACCCTAATTCAGTCACTTATTATAAATTATTTATATTTTCGATTTTACCATAATATTACTAAATTCATATTCAGCTTATTCATGAACCCCATTATTAAAAAATGACAAACCGTAGTCCGTTATTTTATGATAAAAGCTTAAGTAAATTAAGAGTTTTTAAAGGGCCGCCGAATCTTCACCCAGGGTTTCTAAAAATCTTAGAACGACCCTGCTAAGCAATATGTAATTCGAGGTAGTGGGGGAGGAGGTATTAAGTTACGGATAAAATGCATAATTTTGAGAAGGATGGACAAAGTCTATGTAATGAAGGAGAATTGTGCTCATGAGTAATATAGTATGTATGTGTGGGTCAATGTTATTTTTTCAACTATAAATCATTTTTTTGAGCGTGTAAAATGATTTTACCAGATTATACTTCAGCATGTTTAGAAAACCTACTTCGAGGACTTTTAGAAAATTTTGCTAAACAACTTCTAAACTTAATGTAACTTATATTATTTCTTCCATAGATTTTATGTATTAAATATAAATGACTCAAAAGTTAACAGTCAAAATCCCACAGGGTAGCATGCTGGAATACATTTCCGGTAAAATAAGATTTTTTAATTTAAAAAAAACGCACTCAAAACTTGATTTAAAGTTGGAAAAATAATACGCTGACGGATATGTCACTTTGACGCCATCAACAAAAATATTACGTGATATCATATGAAGAAACTGTTTAAAAAATTTTTTAAATTATTTTTATTTATGCGAGTAGGCAATTTTAAACAACCTCGTATAAAAACAAAGATCAAAATTTATGCGAGCTTGTGTTATTAAACATCATCGCATAAAACTTTTATTTTTTATTATTTTTTTAAAAAAAATTTTATTGTTTGTAAAATTCTTGTGCCATTTTGACACTAATTTAGAATCAATTTTTTTTCCATCAGAAATGAGAAATAGTTATATATTTGAAATCAGTATTCAATTAGCATTTTAATGATGTGTATATTTATATTATATATAGTTTTGGAAAAAAATTTTAAATAAATATATATTTGAGAGCAATAATTTGGAATTATTTTTTTTTTAACAGAAATGAGAAATATTTATATATTTGAAATCACCATTAAATTTGCATTTTAATGATGTGTATATATAGATATATTATATTTAGTTACACAAGCTTGCATAAATCCTTTGATCTCTGTTTTTATAAGATGTAGTGCACTATCTTAAAAAAAAGAAATCATTTTTAATTGATATAAATTTCCTCCTCTCAATAAGATTTATTTAGGTGATTTAATTGCCCATCCTCTTTTTAAAAAATAAAGAAAACAACCTAACTCGCGTCGTTTTTTGATGTCCAAAAAAGCTATGCCTAGATTAACAATTCATTTATTTAAAATATATCAATACAAATTGATACGCATATGGCGCGCCACCAGCTGATTTGAATTTAACAACGCTTCCATTAGTCCAAAGTTGATTTACTTTTCGTAAGTAATAATCTATCAAGATAAGCTGTCCAATAAAAAACTTTAGCCTGCATACAATATCACTTACAAAGAGTAAATTAGCTCTTCGAAAGCAATATTATATGCAACATTATTGCAGTTTTTCCTTCTGATGATTGTTTTTTTTTTAAATTTCCAATTGAAAGAATGTCAAAAAATATCTTTCTTTTTTATTTGTTTTAAATATTCCGAGTCCTATTAAGGAACGCTTACTTTTGTCAAGTCACCCAAGGGCATAGTGTCGAAATCCTCGTCAAGTTTGAGAGATTTGATAACTTCGTTATATCGTTCGAGAAGAAAGGGCGAACCGAAAAGTATATTGGAACGAATGGTTCCCGGCTTGATCCACGGTACTTGGGCTGAATAAGCGAGTGGTAAATTGGCCCAATTCACATCTTTTTTCGTAAAAAAATACAAACATTTTCAAAAAATCATATCGTAATGATGATAAAAATAATAACGATTTTCGCAAATTAAATTAATACACGTATTTGAATATCCATGTTTGCTTCATTACTCTGTTAAATATTTTCTGAGAAAAAGTTTTCTTACTTTCTATTTATTTAATTATTTCTTTTCTTTCACCTTCCCTTTTTTCTGTTAATTACTACAATCTGAGTAATGATTCATTGATCAACTTTTATCGACGAATTTCGCTAATTACCATTTTAGATATAAGTCAATAAATAAAATTATTAATGAAATATTAAATAACTCTGCTGATTTAGAGTATTAGAATTAAATTCCGATTTCGCGACGGATTCCATAAAGTAACGGCCATTAATTAGGTGCATCTCGTTCATGAGAGCCATGAGTAGGGATGTTTTACCGCTCCCGGTTGCTCCAGTCACGCCAATCAACCCAGCGTGGGAAAGATCGATAATTAAATCGATGTCCGAAAGTAGAAAATTGGAGTTGGGCGAGATGTTATTTTCGTCAGCAGATATTACGATTGTCTGCGATTCGCTATTTGGTTCCAAGCAGTCGTGCTGCCACGAAAATGTACTTTTCTCCAGTCTTATAACTCGTTTGAGAAGCCCTCCGGCGAAGGGTTTATTGACGGTATCGAAATCATTCTTAAACATTTTATGATCCAAGATAGATGTACCGCGGTATGTTACGGTACATTCGTCGTCGGCGACTTGATTATTAGCAAAGGCATCAGTTTCCGAGGGATGCAGCGAAGGTTTCAAATGATCAGTGAGCGATTGTATTCTACCCAGGGAAATCCAAGCCTCGATCAGTCCATTTATGACCCAGGGGAAAGAGTTGAGTGGAGAGATGAGCATGTTGAATAAGGCCAGGCTAGTAAATATTTTTGAAGCGTCCAGGGTTATGATAACGTTTTCCGAGTTTCCCGGAGGAATCACGTCGGTGTGATATACTATGTACGCTCTATACAATATGTAAGACACAAAAGTGGATACTGACATCAAAACGGGCGTGGTAGCCCAGAAGTATACGCAAAGCGCGTCAAGATATTTCTGCTTGGCCACGTATTTTAGTTCTTCGGTTCTGGCCTTAAATTATTATTAAATTTATTCGAGGTATAATTTTGATATATATAAACATTTTATTAATTATTATAATTAATTTCGATTAAGTGGAATCAACTCTTTTTACGCTTTAATTTAATAATAAGAAAACATTGGTTTCTAATTTTAGATTTTGATGTATGTGACTTCAGGGTGGTAACGCTAAAAAGGATAAAATACATACTCATAACTTCTAAATTTAATTAGACATCGCTTAACTTACTTTCTACTTGAATAAGCTTAATTTATAAAAAAATTACTACTCCGCATCCCTCGGGGATATGAAGCCATCGATCTTAAGTAGAATATATAAAACATCACAAATTACCTTTGTCACGCGTTCTTCAAAATAGTTTTCCAAGTGCATCATTTTTACAGCCTTCCAATGGCTAATAAGTTGTGACAAATGTTTAAGCCGAGCATCCTTGACCCTCATCATATTCGTGCTGTATGAAGCTATACGAGTGGCCAACCATTTGTTTACCGGAATCATGATAATGACTAGGGCTATACCTTTGTAGTGGATTACAATAAACATTTTCACATAAATGAAAATTTTACAAAAAAATGTCAAACAGAACTGTAAACCGAAATGAATCGTTATAATACGAATCATAACGGAACCGTTAGAAATCTCAAATAAAGAGATATAACCCGTTACAAATACCTTCGAATCAGTTCATAGACATTTTTTGAGATTTCATATATTAAATATTAGGATAATTTTAAAATATTTTTCTAAAAATGTGCAAATTTAAAATATATTCGCTTATTTTAAAATTATTTTGTACTTTTTTTAATTTTTCCTTACATATTAAAAATATAAATATCAATTCCCAGTTAAAAAAAAATTTTTTTTTAAATACATTATCGTTCTCAGCTACAGGTGTTTTTGTAGAGAGGACATTTTTTTAGTCTCATATCCTTTCTGCGCAAGGGATGAAAATTTAATATTCAAATATTGTAAAACATTTTATCGAATTAGTTCCAAATTCTAATTTTTTTAAAATATTAATTTTATACCTAATCTGTTGTTTTTAAAAACTAAATAATGATCTTAAAAATTTCTAAGATAATTTAATTAATGATCAATTTTTATATACTTATAAAACCGGATATGAACCGAAATGAATTTCTAATTCAAATTTTTTTTTAAATAATCGGAATATCCAATGCGTTAACAGGCAGCGTTTTAATAAAAAGTTAGGAGCCAATGTCTGTAATCATCAAAGGTTTTGGCTTGATTCACCGTGGGATTCGATCCTACGTGATTTAACAGCTGAATGATTTGTAAAATCTGTTTATGAGATCAATTTTTTTATATATTAATTTAATTTTTTAATTCTATTCTTATAATATAAGAATTATTGATTTTAATAAAGAAAAATTGATCTCAATTTTTAAAATGGCTCAGCTGTTAAATCGTACAGGATGGGTCCCATCATGAATCCAATCTTAAACATAAAACAAAACTAAATGATAAAATAAACTTCTTTGTTTTCAAAAAAAAGATAAAAATAAATAAACATACCGGCCAAAAATGTCATTCCGACCTGTGTGTAAAGCAAGTATAATGATATGATAATCTGTAGAGGCAAACTCCAAAATGAATGAAAACTGCCGAAAAAGTTCACGACTCGATCTATATCGCTACTGATTATATTCATGACGGTCCCTTCTATAGACGCTTCTTCGTGGCGTATTTCCTTATTTTTAGGGGATATAGCTTGGTTATGATACTTAGTAGATTCGGTAGAAATTTCCGAATTTTTCTTAGATTTTCTAACACAGGATTCGTGTTTCAAGACGAGCGGGGAGTTTATCTGGGCTAAGGGCGTTCTAAGCACTCGTTCGTAGATTAGATGAGTGAGGATCGATTTAACGCGCAAGCCGATTAACCTGATTCGAAAATCGAAATGGACAGTTATGATAGTAGAGAGCATAGTTGCCGAAGCTAGTCCCATACCTGAGCCTAATATGGACAACGTATAATCGTGACTAGATACGCTTTCAGAATTTGCAGCTTTACGCCGATTTTGAAGAGCCTTCAAAAGAGCATTGAGCAAAAGTGGACAGGAGAAATAAACCACCTCATTGGCAAATTTAAGTAAGCCCAGGGCTAAGAATTCTATCCCCGCTGCCGATTTTATGATCGCTAACACATTTAAACTCGCGCTAGATCGGTGGGGTTTTATATACTTCGAATTGAGATACGCGTAACACAGTGATGAAGGAAGCAATATCAACGAATCAGCTTTGAGTCCCCAAACACGTATGCTAGTTATAAGAGGTCCTATCCAAGCAAAAACGGAGCGGGAAAAAAGTCCGAAGGAGTCATAGTGCCAAGCATTATTCGGTAATTCTTTATAATCAGCGATATCTTCTATCGAGGTTGGAGAGTAACCTGATTTCAAACTACCGTAACTTTTATGAGCGTATCTAAGCATTGAATCGCGCAATAAACTAGCAGTCTCAGTTGGCTCTATGGCGCGTAAACCGTTAGATAAATGTATCGAAACATTATCACGAGATGCAACGTAGTGAAAAATTAAATAGCGATCGAGTAAGCGTTCAAAATGCTCGAATGTCAGCTTGAAGACGATCGTCGAGTGTAAAAAGAGAATCGTCATAGACCCGATGAAGAAAACGATTTCGATATAACTCGGGACTAAATTAATTTCGTGGTTTTTAATTTTGATAAGAATAATATAAATGGTAGAAATTAAACATGGTATGGACGTTAAAAACAAAGCAAGACTAGATAATATTAAGATTCTGAGAGTATTTAGGGCGATTCTTAGGCCTCTCAAACTAACGGAAGTGATGCGCGTTTTTTTGATTTTATGTTCTCTGAATTTTTCGGGACAAGGAAGCATCGTCACCAAAAAAAATAGGTATAGTCGTTTAGGTAGCGTCTTCAATTTGAGCTTTACAAACGGTGGTCGCGTATTCGCGAGATGATCGCAATCGAAATCCGCTTCGTGGGCAATAGTGGTGGGCACTCTGAACAGCGTGTTATGTCTCGATACCTTGATTCTCACGATCCAAAACAACGTCAATATCAAGGAACTTAAAGTATTCACATTAAGCCACCTAGGTATATTTGACCCAGGTTTCATTTCGTTGTTGAAATTATTATAAGTGGGAGTGTGAGTAGCTTGTAACAGAGAATATGTGAGTATTTGATAAAGACCACATAGGGTTAAGCCGAGGCAGGGTATCAGAGAGAAGCCCGTCCACCAAATAGCGTGTCTTTCTGTGTTAAGCCAACGGATTGTGGCGTGGTCTTTGATAGAATAACACTTCGTTTTCCGGGTAGCAGAAATCGTGCCCAAAGTGTAAGCGTGACAAATTGTAGCCGTGGCGAATGGTAATATGAGGAAAAGTAATCTTTCGAAGCAGACATTCAGATAATTGTAACGATTAAAGTCACAAATATAATTTTTAAAGATATCGAATATGAAGTACAGAATGTATTCGCTTGAAGTAGTATTTGACCTATCGGTGTCGTTATTAAAAGGAGAGGGTGAGTATGATGGTAGAGAATTATTGCAGCAAAAATGCTGCCAGTTATTGATCATATTGCTTTGAATTCAATTAAGATTCGAAAGAAGAAGCAAAAACCTATATCTGAAATCCACCTTTTGAAAGGCTCATATTTTTCAATTAATGCCCAAATTCGAAAATGATCATTTAGTCAAAAAAAATTGTTTCTTGCATTCATCTCTAATGAAAAAGTCCTAAACATTGTAATAAGAAAAAATTAATTAGTTAAAATAGGTGATTATAATACTGCCCAGGCTCGATAAATTTTTTGTCATTTGGTTATGTCCTAAATATATTTTAAAAAATCTCAAAATTTCAGAACTTTCGTAACTTTATAAAATCATAAAAAATATCTATTTTTTAAAAGTTGTAAATTTTGAAATTTATAATTCTTATAAAATTATATTTATACTACCCATTTAATTTAATACTTCCCATTAGCCTTAAACATAATAAAATGCAACTCTCTCCGCTTTATATTCTCAATGACCGAAACCCCCTAATTGAATATTTTATGCATAGGATAGACTTAGGCTATTTTGCTCCCAAATTCACGCTAAAAGGGAATTTGGATCTCAATCAATAAAAGACAGCAAAAATTAATGACTTTATATAATTGTGATTTACTAATATTAATTTTTTTTTCAATAATTGTGAAAATTATTTTGTAATTTTATTTAGTGATCTGCATCGGGCCTAATTTTTCAAGCCCGGCCCGAAATTTTTTTTGAAAAATTTTGCCAGCCCGGCCCGAATTTATTTAAATATATAAATTAATTCTTTTAATTATTCAAAATAAACGAAATATGTTATATGTCGTCTATTTTCTATAAATAAAATAACATATTTTTATTTTACATAAAAAATTCAACATAAATTCGATAAATTTAGATATATTTTTAAAAAATTAAGGCCCGACCCGGTCCGGCCAGAATTTTCTTAAAAAATATTACTTTTGCAGACCTCTAATTTTATTATCATTTTTGACTTTATACTAAGCTTTCCTATTATAGTTAATTAATTAATAAATTGGAATAGCAGAAATTTGAAAAATATAAGTTTATTTCTTACTTTTTTTCGTAACACAACTTTATATGCTAGCTGGAATTTATTAAATTTTTATAATCTCTAGGAATTTAAAACATTAATAAACTTTCGTAAATTCGAAAAAATGATATAGGTATTTTATTTTTAAATTAAAAATAGCTCATTTCTCTTTTTCGTTAAATTTACGAAATTTTATTAATTATATATTTGTTATTTAGGACACAAAAAAGTTTATAGCGAAATCTGAAATTAACATGGTAGGTACTCGTGCACGTGCTAGAATACATTTCCGTTTAACTAGGATTTAAAAAAATTTGTAATCATCAATATAAGAATTTACAAAAAATGTTTCAAACTTGCATATTTAAAGTTACATTAAAAATATTGTTGTTTTTTATTGCTTATATACCAATACACTTTTCATATCGATCCGATTCAGGCATAAGTAATGATTACATTTATTTAGCCTAAATATCTTCATTTATCTTGTGTGGATCAAAAGTTAGTGTTGTTAAATAGTCGAGTTTTTACGACTCTGAAATCAAGTTGGAGTCGCAAAACTCATTTTAAATTGAGGATCAATGAGCCGCATGAGTCGGCTCAATTTATCGGCTCGATGAGTTGCTTCAGAGTCGGCTCGATGAGTTGACTCGCTGTGTCGGCTCGCTGAGTCGGCTCTATATATAATAATAAAAAAATAAAAAATAATTTTATTTGTGCCATTAATTATAAATTGTGGCAAAAACCACTTCAAGGGGCTTCCTACCTAAACCATTAGTTTTTTTAGGCCATAATAAATTGAAAATCATTTTTATTTATTAATAATGATACGCATAGAATAATTAATTGTTCAAATTATCATAATATTTATAAAGTGAAGCTATTAAGTGAAATGAAATCTTTTATAGTTTTTTTTTTATCTTTTTCTAAAATTATCTATTTTTTATGTGTATTAAAAGAAGTGGTTTTTTCTAAATAATTTATTTTTAAATATTAATATCAAATTTTTTATGTTATTTATATGATATGATCTTTTTAAGGATACTATACTATTAATGTGATAATTGTCATATTCGTTATTTTTTTTAAATTTTGAAATTTTTTGGCACAAAAGGGTAAAATAAAATTAAATTGTAAAGTTGATAAATTATAAATTAAATGAAGATGCCCTTGGATAAATGATAATTATATCGGTATTTTTAAGATATTATATATTTTTTGCCGCAAATAGGCAAAAATTAGTATTGCAAACATGTTTAAATAAAACTTAAAAGTAGATGCACCATATATAAGTGACAATTGTCATAATCGTTATTTTTAAAGTTTTTTGCATATTCTTGACGCAAATGGGTAAAAACATAGATTGTAAACATGTTAAAATAAAATTTCAGTGAATATACCATAGATAAGTGATAATTGTCATAATCGTTATTTTTAAAGTTTTTTGAATTTTTTTGACGCAAATGGGTAAAAACATCAAACATGTTAAAATATAATTTCAGTGAATAGGTACCATAGATAAGTGACAATTGTCATAATCGTTATTTTTAAAGTTTTTTCAATTTTTTTGACGCAAATGGGTAAAAACATATATTGTAAACATGTTAAAATAAAACGTAAATGAAGATGCACCCTAGATAAGTGACAATTGTCATAATCTTTATTTTTAAGTTTTTTGAATTTTTTTGACGCAAATGGGTAAAAACATAGATTGTAAACAAGTTTAAATAAAATTTCAGTGAATGTGTACCCTAGATAAGTGACAATTGTCATAATCGTTATTTTTAAAGTTTTTTGAATTTTTTTGACGCAAATGGATAAAAACATACATTGTAAACATGTTAAAATAAAATTTCAGTGAATATGTACCATGGATAAGTGACAATTGTCATAATCGTTATTTTTGAATTTTTTTGACGCAAAGGGGTAAAAATAGATTGTAAACATGTTAAAATATAATTTCAGTTAATATGTACCATAGATAAGTGACAATGGTCATAATCGTTATTTTTAAAGTTTTTTCAATTTTTTTGACGCAAATGGGTAAAAACATAGATTGTAAACATGTTAAAATAAAACGTAAATGAAGATGCACCCTAGATAAGTGACAATTGTCATAATCTTTATTTTTGGACTTTTTTAAATTTTTTTAAAGCAAATTGGTAAAAATATATATTGTAAACATGTTAATTAAAACTTCACTAAAGATGTACCCTAGATAAGTGGCAATTGTCATAATCTTTATTTTTGGACTTTTTTGAACATGTTAAATTAAAACTTCACTAAAGATGTACCCTAGATAAGTGGCAATTGTCATAATCGTTATTATTTAATTTTTTTGAACTATTTTAGATATAACATAGAAAAATAATTTATATGTAATATTTTTAAACTTTTTAAAGCATATAAATTTTGACAATTATTGATTATTTCAAAATTATTGAAAATATATTTTTAACCAAGGTTGTTATCAGAACACTGCTACCCAATCAAATTTTTAAAAAAAAAAAATTGTCATAGTATATTTTGTATATTTTAGATGGCTTTATTATGTATGAGATTATTGGAAATAATTTTTAAAGAAGTATGGGTGAACATTAAAAGGAGTGATACTAAAGAGAATATAAAAGATATACCATAGAAAAGTAACAATTTTTATATAATTATTTTAACTTTTTTGAATTTTTGTGTCGCAAATAGGTTAAAATTTATACTAAGATGTTAAAATAAAATTCCAATAAAGATGTACCATAGAAATTGTCAAATCATTATTTAACTTTTACCATTTTATATCGTTGTAAATAGTAAATGCATGACTTTTACTATTAAATAACGATAAAATTATAAAAGTTGGAAGGCTAAACCTTTCTTCTTTATCTCTTCTTTTAAAATTCATCTAAATATATTATACTTTAACCAAATCTTTTACACAAATTTAAACACCTCTTTTGTATCTCTCCTTAAAATATTAAACTTTTGCACAAATTTTAAACAACTCTTCTTGTATCTTTCCGATGCCTCCCCAATGAATCCTCCCATTTTACTCCCCAATGAATCCTCAGATTTTTCTCTTAAAATCCCCCTCCCCTTTATGAATTCTCCCCATATCCCCTATTAATCCTCCTGCTTATAAATACAGATTTTTTAATTCATATTAATCGATTTCTTTTTATATAAATGAACTTTTAAATTAATTTTTCTTTCATTTCGAAAATCATATTTTAGATATTCGTCATTCCGTTTTCAAAAAAATTTATCCACAATATAAATCAGAGACCTGCAGGCCCGGCCCTAAGCTCGGCCGGGCTTGAAATTTTTTTTTTAAAATTAATACATTGTGAATTATATTCGCGAATGTAATATATTCAAAGAAAAATTAATCTTCCATTTTTATGAATATTAGTTTTATTTTTATAAATGCAATATATAATATAGTATATTCTCAAAATATTATTTACTTCCATTTTTATAAATATCAGTATTATTTCTTTTATAAATACAATATTATAGAGTATATTCTCAAAATATTAACGTTTTACTAATTTTGTTAGACGACTCGATTTGATCCGATATTTAAAAACGGCTATCTCTATAATTTAGACAGGTAAATTTGCCTAAGCCTCGAGATTTAGCTAAAAGATTTCCAAACCTTTATGCTATCTATTATCAAAATTTTCAGTCTTACCTAATAATTTTCTGGATAAAATATTGAGTTAGCCGTTTTTAAAAATCCGCTCAAATCGAGTTATAACAACACTACTTTTTACCATGAATTTTTTAAATACAAATTAAAATTATCATAAATACAATTTATTAATTCTCAAAACAATTTTTTTATCAATTTGTAATATGCTAAATATCTGTTTAGAATAAAAAAGATAAAATATATAATATGCTTATTAAGATAATTCTCGCTGAAAAATACTGTAAAATATCGAATAGGGGAATTTTTGTATACATAACAAGGTCGAATATAATTTAAAAAATCCAGGCAGGGCCTAAA